TATCTAAAAAAATTTACCTTACCGACAACTAATTTCTTACTTATAACTTAGAAGACTTGGAAGACAGATCAATTGTCGTTCTTTTGTAATGTTTCATGGGTTACAGTTTAATTTTTTTCATAAATATGATATTTAAATGTTTTAATGTGTGTATTTTATTATATAGAATTTACTATTATTTGACATATATTAAGTGTTATGTATGAAGTATTAAATGTATATAACTTGTTAGAGAGCAAGTTACTTTTTGAATTCCTTTACAATTATTACATTGGCTACATTTCCGTTCGGATCACTCAGATGTGATCCCGAAATAATAAAAATCAAAGTTAACTACTATACTGCGCATGCGCTTTGAAAACCAGTGATGGGGAAAACTGTGATTAAGAAGGGGAAACAGCATGCTGGTTAATTTACGTTGAGCACATGGGTAATCTGGCCAGTAGTTCCGGCGCTGCCATGTGCTCAGGTTAGTTAAATCTCTAAAGTGACGGTAGCATGTGACCAAAAAATTTAAAAACAACAAAGAGCACGTTTATTATCAAAAATACTGTGTTAGCGCTAGTGTCGTGTTCTTAAAAAGTGATAAAAAATTTTGAATTTAGTGCCAAAAAATTGTGAGCAAGTTTTTAAAAAAATATATTTTTGTTAATTTTATCACCGGTTGATCTCGTGAAGAATGGCTTTATTGGATAAAAATGCTAATAAAGCATTCAACATGACTGGATTATTATTCGGCAACATAGACAGTGACGGTCAGTTGGAAGAAAGTTTTCTTGATGATGATGCTAGAAGACAGTTGTCATCTCTGAATGCTTTTGGATTTAATACAGTATTCGAAGATGTGATATCGCATGAAGAAATAGTCGGTGAGTCTCCTATATATTTTGAAGACGATGATATAATAATAAAAGAAGAAGTTATTAGTGATGACAGCAGTCTTAACAGTGATGATGATGCTCAAAATTTTATCGAAGTGTGTGAAGAAACTTCCAAATCACTGCCTGAAAGTTTTAAGCCAGAAGTCAACGAAAAAGCTATTGATGTTGATATAAATCAGGAAACTTGTGAGGAACATGAAGAGAAGGAAGAAACTTCTGAATCTCTGCCCGGGAATTTTGAATCAGCAGCCGAAGAAGAAGCTATCGATTCTCAAGCAGAAGAAATTTATGAGGAGAATGAAAAAATATTGGTTTCACTTGAAGATAAGGAAAAGAACTGTCCTTATTTTAGCATTCTACCTTCTAAATATAAAGATGTAGAGGTTAGTGAATTATTTCCAGACTTTCGTTGTGATAAAGCTCTTAGATTTAATAGAATATTTGGCCCGGGAAAGGAGAAGAATTTGCCAAATATATGGCGAAATGCTCGAAAAATAAAGAAGAGTATTGAAAAAAGTCATCAAAAACAAGACGAATCATCAGATTTGAACCCAGAAGATAATAAATCTAATTCCAGAGGCTGGGTTATGAACTACGGACCTGATCCTGAGCCCGATCAATGTGCTTCTGATGATGAACTTAAATTACTAGCTCCTATTGAAGTCAAAAAAAACCTACCAGACATTGAAGAGAAGAAAAAGAATGTAAATTCTGGCCCCTCTGCTAAAGATTGGCGCTTTGGTCCGGCCCAATTTTGGTACGACATGATAAAAGTCCCCGAAACTGGAGATGGGTTTGATTATGGTTTCAAATTGGGTGAAAATCAAGCGAATTGCGATGAAAAAGAAAAAGTTAGCAATGATATTGATGATGATGCGTTTCTTATGGTTTCACAATTACACTGGGAAGATGATATCATATGGGATCCTAGTGAAGTTAAGCACAAGGTAAAAAATGGTTTGAATCGCAAGATCAGCAGTGCTGGGTGGATACCTTCAACAGTAAACAGAAAAGCTCGTAATAATTTGATGAGCACTTGTTATCAATCTTCATTAAATGCTGAAGAAAGTAATTTTTCATTGCTTCCGATGGAAAATGAAGACTTGGTTTATGGAACTTGGGAAGATGAAGTTATTTGGGACGCTGAAAATATGACCAAAATTCCAGAGCCTAAAATTTTGACCCTGGATTTGAATGATGACAATATTATCTTGCAAGTTCCTGATGATGTTGATTCCAAGCAGAGTCAGGACAACAATGGTACTCAGCGTAAAGCTAAAACTTCTCTTCCTTATGCTAAGAAAAGTAAAACTATTTTAAGCCAGCAGGGAATTTTGAATTTCAATGATGAAGAGGAAGAAAAAATAGAATCCAAATCATTGGAAGTTTCTGAAGATCCTTTTAACATTTCTAACGATGGATACTACGCGGCAATAAAGACGGTAACAACTTTCAAATTGAAGCGCGCTAGTGGAGTTATTCAACACAGCACTCCGGTAATTCAACTCCGTGAACCTTTTATTCAAACTTACATGAACCCCACAAAATTGAGAAATTTCCACAGACTTCCTCTGCGAAGATACAACCACGGTCCGCTGGCGTATCCAGCGCATCATCAAATTTATTCCTTATCAAAATACATTGAAATAAAAGCTGCAGTCCGGGAGCAAGAGAGACTTGCTTCTGGTGGAGGAGACATATTTTTCATGAGGACTCCTGAAGATCTTACTGGAAGAGACGGCGGGTTGATACTCCTTGAGTTTATAGAAGAGCATCCTCCGTTGATGAATCAAGTGGGCATGTGCTCGAAGATAACGACCTACTACAAACGAAAAGCTTGTAAAGATGTTGAGCCACCTAAATTTAAATACGGTGAGACACTGTACGCTCATACAAGTCCTTTTCTTGGATCCCTCATGCCTGGACAGAGTATCCAAGCAATCGAAAATAATATGTACAGAGCTCCTATTTACGAGCACAAGCTACCACAGACGGATTTTTTGATAATACGCACACGTGATAAGTATTTTATACGTGAAATAGACGATATTTTTACAGTGGGGCAACAGTGTCCTCTTCACCGAGTTCCAGCGCCTAATTCAAAGCTTGCGGTTAAATTCAGCCGTGATTTTTTGCTTGTGTACATCTATCGTTTGTTTTGGAAATCAAATGATACGCCACGAAGAATTAAAATGGAGGATATTAAAAAAGCTTTTCCACTTTATAGTGAAAGTAATATTCGTAAACGTTTAAAATTGTGTGCTATTTTTAAAAGAACTGGAATGTATTCTAACTGGTGGGTGATAAGGTCTGATTTTCGACTACCATCTGAAGAAGAAATCCAATCTATGGTAACTCCAGAACAATGTTGTGCTTATTTTAGCATGAAAGCTGGAGAGCAAAGATTGAAGGACGCTGGTTATGGTGAAAATATCTTTTTGACAAATGATGATGATGATGATTTTCAGGTGAAAATTGAAGATGAAGTTAAAGTCGCTCCTTGGAATACCACAACAGCGTACATTCAAGCGATGGAGGGTAAATGTATCTTGCAGCTGAATGGTCCAGCTGATCCTACTGGCTGCGGAGAAGGATTTTCATACATCAGGATGTCGAACAAACCAGTAATTAATAAAGCAGAGCAAGAGCAGGTTAAAAAACATCTGATAGGTAGCGAAAAGGATTTGCGACGGCTAAATTTACCGGATGCTAAAAGACTGCTCAAGAAATTTGGAGTTTCTGATGGAATCATCAATAAGTTAAACCGCTGGGAGATGGTTGATATGGTACGAACTTATTCTACGGCAAAAGCCAAAGCCGGTGAAGAAGATGAGTATATTTATTCTCGCGGGAATCGATTTTCTGTGGTGGAACATCAAGAGCGCTATAAAGAAGAGGCGCAGAGGCTTTTTAATTTGCAAAATGCTTTGCTGGCTTCTAATGAAGTTTTGAGCACTGATGAGGATGAAAGTTCGGGGGGTAATTCTGATATTGAAGCTATGGGTAAGAATATTGAAAATATTTTGACTAATAAGACGTCTACGAGGCAGTTAAGTCTTAAACAGGAGGAGCAGGAACGGCTTGAATTGAAGCAGATGATGATGGACAAATCTTCGAAGAAGAATTCTAAGAATAATAAGAATGATAATGATTATTATCAATCTAAGGATCGTGTCTTGAAAATTGTGAGAACTTTTCATGACTCTCAGGGGAATCCTTTCACCAGAACTGAAGAAATTCGCAACTCTGCTGTTATTGATTTGTATTTGAAACTTAAAAATTCAAATAATAAAAAAATTATCAATGACTTTTTACTGCCGACTGTTGAACAGAAAGAAGAACAGAGGAAAGAAAAGAGAAGAATTCAGGAACAGTTGAGGAGAATTAAAAAACAACAAGAACGTGCGTCTAAAAATGGTCTTTCTAATAATCAAAATAATCAGTTGAAAAAGGATTCAATTGTTAAGTGCAGTTCTTGTGGCAACCTAAGTCACACCAGTAGATGTTGTCCAGTTTATAAAAATCGTAGGGATAGTTCACCTGTCCAAGATATTGCTAGTTACCAAAAACAAGTTGATAGTAATATCGATCATGATCTTGTTAAAGTAAATGGTACTAAACTTAGATTCTCAACAAAATTAATTAAGGTTTGTAATTTTTATACTTATTTTTTATTCATCAAATTTATTTTTTATTTAAATTAATTGTAAAATTTGTTTTTTTTTTTTTTTTTTTTTGTTTTTCTGTTACAGCAAATTCAAGCGGAAAATAATTATGAGTATAATAAAAGTTGTACTGATAAATATACGGAAGATAGAAACTTGAAAAAACGTTCAAGAAGCAGCAGAGATAGCATTGATTATAATGAATCAATATCGTATATAAAACCACCTAAAAGAAGACAAACTGATCCTGTTATTTCAATGTCATTAATATTTGAAAAAATTATTGAGGAATTAAAACGTTTACCGGGCGTCGAGCCATTTTTACTTCCTGTTCATAAAAAGGTAAATTATTTTATACAATAAAATAAAACAAAAATTTGCTTTAAAAAAAAAAAATAATTTTATATTGATATTTTTTTTTTTGAATAAAATTTAATTTTTTATTTTATATTTTAGCAAGCAAAAGACTACTACAATATTATAAAAAATCCAATGGACTTACAAACAATAAGAGAAAACGTACGGAAGTACAAGTATGAAACAAGAGAAAAATTTCTTGATGATATGAATCTTATTGTCAAGAATTCATCTATATACAACGGACCAATTCATATTTTAACTGTGACAGCTCAACGAATACTTCAAGTTTGTGCACAAAAACTCAAAGAGAAAGAAGAGTCTCTTATAACACTCGAAAAAGCTATCAATCCATTTATGGGTGACAACGCTAAGTCTCAATTGGCATTTATTTTGGAGACTATTATGAATAATAAACTCAAGTCCATGGCCGAGGCAAGATTGTTCCTGAGTTTCAAAAAGTTTATCAAGAGGAATAATATTAGAACTCCGATGGACTTAGATATGATTACCAGGAAAATATCTCTTAAAGAATACCGCAGTAGGTATACATTTCTTCAGGACGTCAAGCTAATATTAGAAAATAATATTTTAAGTGGTTCGCCGTTTGTGAGGGAATCACAATTACTTGTTAAAGTATGCGAAGAATCATTGGGTGGGTATGATGAGATATTAACGAAAATAGAAAATGAGATTGTAAGTAAAAGTCCTCGTCAGTTAGAAGCGAGTAATAGTTTTGCAATAATTCCATCACCTGGAAATTCAAATCCGTCAGAAAGCGGCTTTATAAATTGTAAGTCGGAAGAAAATGAGTTTATTGATGTCGAGGGCGATGATGAAAATTCAATGTCTCTCCCTGATAATGTTATCATGAATACCAATCAAGAATTTCAATTTAATTATGAAGAAAACTGTAACATTATTAAGATGGAAGGTTTTAGTGAAAACTTGGAGGCTCCGGAAGAAAAAATAGATGTTTATCAAGATCTTGAGTGCTCTGATGATGATGATGATGATGATAGACCTGATTTTTCCGAGGTGCCAGAAAGACATGTTCTACAAGACATTCCTGATAATAAAATAAATCTCCTTGAAGAACTTGAAATTTCTAGTGAAGAAGAAATAAAAGAAGAAATCGATCTAGATGAAATGTCTCGTGATATCGATAGCGAGATTTGGTCTTAATTTAAAAATTTAATGTATATTGTCAATGTATATTTTTAGAAGTTATACAGTTACATAAGTATTAAGTAAATAAAAATTATACCTCAAGTAATTAATTTAAAATTATGTTATTATTTAGAGATATTTTTCATAAATATTTTTTTATCAATTAAATATAATATATTGTAAATTTATAATAAAGATTTTTCTGATAAATATAACAAGTACAATTATTTATAATAAATTTTTTTAGATGGTATAATTTTATTAGAAAAATTCTTTTTTTAAGAAAAAAAAATTATTAATAAAAATTTTAAGAAGCATTTTTTCATTTTTGAAGGTTAAAATTTTCAATAGAACAATAAATTAATAAATGTCAATGCGAGTAAATGTAAAAAGTAGTAAATTGAAAAATTAATTAGCATGGTTGTCATTCAAAAAACTCTAGTTGCACATTTTTAAACACTAACTAATTTTTAAAAAACTTTTTTTACGTAGTTAATAAAATAATTTTTTGGTTTTACTACCACGTGGTTGCATTCATAAATCCTCAACGCACGCGTCAGTTTATATTTCGCGCCCTTACAAATTACACGGCGCTGTCATCTAGTTTTGAAAAACAATAAAAAGAAAATTTGAAAATGAAAATCTGTCACGTAGCCCTCTACAGAGACAGTAAATTGTTATGCTTCCATCTAGTGGATGTTATTTTTATTTATTTAAAACTTTACTTACTGTAGTTCTTTCGCCCGGGAGTATTAAAATACTCGGTTTCAGTGCGGGAAAGGAATAATTTTAAATAAAAGTATTCTATTTAGACGTAATTTAATTTTGATCAAAATTATTTAGTTGGTTTCAATTTATTATTCAAGTTGACAAAATATTAAAAGCTTCAAAATATAAAATTGAGGTTTACAATGACGTGATCTTAGCAATCTAATCTCTCGATGAGAAGTGTCGTTACATAGTTTTTCCGAAGATCTTCAAACTCCGTTCTTCTCCCACCATAACTTCCACACATACATCCACTCTAAGGAATATATAAATACATACATTTTCTACTACATATAAATGATCCTTATACACTAACATGTATTTTCTCTATATCTATATTATATATATTTACTTCAGCCTATCGACCTGAAAGTTGGACTTCACTTATATATACTTTTAGCAATACAGTCATTATGTTTATCCAACTATTCTTATTAATTTAACAAACCCTTTTTAAAATCTATTAAATTACAATAAAATTATAGTAAATTATAACATGAAAGTATAAATATTATATTATTTATAATATGTTGGACTAATGTTTGAGTTTGAATAATTAATAATTTGAATTAAATATTATTTCTATCATTTTACAATCGAGTTTTCTAATAAAATTATAAGTCAGTTTAATTATTATCCTGTATAAAAGAATAGATATTATTATTTAATTATAAATTAAATATAAGATACTAATTATTAATTATTTTAACTCAATTTTGCTTAACTACAATATTATATAAAGTTAGATTTTAACAGTAAATGTTATTTAACAATATTATTTTTGTATAAGTTACATATGTTTTTTTTTATTATTCTTTGTTACTTTAGAACAAGGGTCTATTGAATTTCACACGTGTCTTTTACGACTTTTCCTCATAGGGTTTTAAGTTTCATCTGGCGAGAAAGTCCTTGAATTACTCAAGTACTTTTTATGGGTTTTGAAAATTCGGTTACAATGTACCTTTGTACCTAAATATGTTTTTTTTTTTATTTTATTTTATTTTCTTTTGTAAATAAAACAGAGTTAACCAAAAGATGTTTATTTTACAACTGGTAAGAGTAAAAGCATTAAATAAAGGACTGGAATATTTACTTCGAATATAAAATTTAACTAATTTTAATCATTTAATATTTACTAGTTTGAATATTTCGTTTGAATTCGCGCTCTCATAATAGATAGCGCTCTAATAACAGGTAGCGTCACCTGTTGGATGATGCACTGGGTGCATCACAAAATAAAAGACAAAAAAAAAGTACATGTGAGAATGTGCGTTTGAAAACAAATTAAAGAGGTTAGAGTAATTCCACGTGTTTAAATAACATACAATAATGTTTTAATTGTATATAAAAGTTTTAAGATATATTTTGAAGTAATTAAAAATGAAAGAACAAATGTCTAATAAATTATTCAATGCCGATGATGTTATGAATGATGATTTAGTGGTTAAGAGACAAGGCGGTGGAAGTATTATTGATCATCGCCCACTGTTTTCTAATGATGGAGAGTAAGTATTTTAATATTAATCCTTAAATTACATCCAGTTTTTTAATTTAGGATAAAATATGACACTGACATTAACAGACACTTTTTTTTTGACAATTTTTTTATTTTTCAAGAAAAATAAATTTTCTTGCTCTAATTTATTGATTAAAAAATTTTTTTAAAGTATTATAATATTTAAAAACATTATTTTCATTTTAATATTATGTAAATTCTATATTATTAATATGTATGTATTGACTGTACTTATATGAAGTATAATTTGTAGTTATTTTTTCAATAAAAAAAATTTTTTTTATTTTTAAATGTCGGCTAACTTAATTTTCGTTAATTTTATAAGTATCATTTTTGTCATTCGGCTTCGCGCCTTGGTATTTAAATCTAATAAATAAATAAATAAATAAATAAATAAATAATTATTGGCACTTTATCTAGACATATTAAATATGTTGATGTATTTTAATATTGTATAAAATTTTATCTCAGATTGAAGAATTGGATTTGATAATCATTAAAATTTAATCTTGTTTGTTTATTTATAAATAATTATTTTTCAGAACATTGTATGTAGTATGGAAGCAAGTAATCAGAGCATACAGCACCCAAACAGGTGATTTTGTCCGTGAATTAGAACCAGCAGATAACAAAATTGCTGGAATAGCTTGGTCTCCCGATAATCTAAACATTATTATTGGTTGTACCGACAATGGTGTCTTAATTAATTGGGACACTCCCGGACTGATTACAAAAAATTTGGTAATTTTATTTAAAATATAAATTTTCATTTTTTTTAACTCCATTTTACTTACTAAATTTTTTCTACTTATAAATTTACTATGAAAAAAAAAATTTTAGTCTCTATTAATGTTTAAACATAAAATTACAAATATTTTTTAAATTATTAATAATACTATTTATTTTCAGAAATTGAATACTTACGATAATTTAAAAATAAGAAGTTTTCATATTGTTAATAGCATCGACATAAGACAAAATGACATACAACAAGCTCTTATTACGTATTACATCCAACCCAGTAATATTATTCAACTAGTTCTCTTTGATTTAGAAGATGGAAGTATTGTAAAATCCCACAATATTCGGTAAGTTACTTTTCTTCTACATAAATCATTTAATATTTTATTTTATTTTAAATTAATTGCACTAAAATACTAATTCATTATTTAATTTTTAGAGCTTACTCTCCAGATTATTTTGTAGATATTATAGGAAATTATGGAAACAATTTAATAGCAGTAGCTCACGAGCTTGATTTACATATTTTACAACCGACGAAAAATTTCACAGGAAAAATGTGAGTTCTCAATTAATTATTAAAAACTAATAAAATATAAACATTAATCTAGCAGATATTTGTTAATTTTAAGAATTTTTTGAAACAAATAAATTATAGCAAAAAAAAAATTGATTAAAAATTGAAAATGCAATTTTTTTTAGCAAGTTTGTTTGGTAAAAAATTTTTTTAAAATAGTGAAGTGACTGCTAGCTTAAATATTATTATAAAATTTGTATTTAATATTTTAAATCAACAATTTTTTAGACACAAAATAGGTTTTGGAGGCCGTAGATTTACTTGTGTCACCGGTCATCCTGAAGAAGATTGTGTTGCGACAGGTGATTCAAGTGGAAGAGTTGCAGTATGGAGACATATTCTTCATCTAAGAGCATCTCATGGTTCTTATCACTGGCATACTTTACCAGTAACAGAAGTTGTTTTTAGTAAATCTGGTAAGATTTATAAATAATAATTAATAAATAAATAAATAGATAATAAATATAATAGTTAATCAGATTCATAATAATTAATTTCCAAACAATGATTACAAAATTTGTTTTACGCCAACAGGTGGTCACATGTACAGTGGAGGAAATGAATCTGTTCTTGTAAAGTGGACTCTGTCAGACGCTAATAATAAAAGTTTTCTTCCTCGACTTCCTGCGCCAATCAAACACCTCACGATAGCTCCAAATAATTTACATATTGCTGTTTCCACTTTTGATAATGGAATAATTATTGTTAATCCTCAGAGAAAATTAACTGCGGTAATTCAGAACTTTACTTGGGGTGTTGGCGTACCCCAAAAAGATCTCTTTCCAGCTGGATTAACTCTTGACCCCAGAACAGGTAGTTTGGTGCTCAACAGCCGGACGGGACATGTTCAATTTTTCGACCCCAAAACAAAAAGCTTACTTTATAATGTAAGTAGAAAATTTTTTTAATATTTTTTGAAAACTGGTAATAATCATTAATATTTAATGTTTTAGATCAATATCACTGCGCAAAATATACTGTCTCAATCGCGTCATATCATTATTGTTAATACAGAAGTTACTAAAATAGCATTAAATTACAATGGATCGTGGATGGCTACCGTTGAAGAACGTGATGATAAAATATCATCTCCTGAAGTCAGATTAAAATTCTGGCAATATGATACTGAAAAACAAGTGTAAGTTAATTTTTAAAATTTATTTTGGCTATAATTTATTATGTACTGATATTTTTAAAAAATTATTATAAAATTAAATTTTTTTATAAAAATATTAAATACAAGCTAAATTAATTTTAATAAAATCATTTAATTTTTTTTTAATAGATTTTCATTAAATACTTCTATTGAAATACCACATGAATACGGTGTAAATGCTCTTCAATTTCAACCAAGAACATCATTTGACGAAGAAGACGTGTTAGCAGTTACAACTGGAGAAGACAATAAATTTAAATTATGGAATTTATCTCAATCTTCGTCAATTTACAGTAAATATTTTTTTTTTTTTTTTTTTTTTTTATTTAATGCGTTCAACTTATCATTTATAATTTTATTTGTTTATAATAATTTTCAATAGAGAATACAAGTCACTGGCAATGTTATGGAGTAGGTTTATATCGTGAATTGCCTGTATCCGATGCCGGATTTTCACAAGATGGTTCACTTCTTGGTGTTGCATTTGGTTCTAGTTTAACAATTTGGACACCTGAATCAAACACTTTTAAATGTAGTTTAACAAATAATCGTTATCCTCAACAAATTAAGTAAGTAAATTTTATTTTGATAAATAAATATTAAATAATTAAATCAATAATTAATATTAAATAATTGAATTAATAATTAAATTAATAATAATTTTAGACGTATTGAATTTGGAAAATTCGAAGCCTGTCACTTAGCAATTTCTGCCTCGTCTGAACATATAGCAGTTTGGAATCTTTTAACTCTGAGTATGACTTGGAGTGTGCCTTTAAGACTTACAACTCTCACCACGGATTCACTGTCAGCTTTCATGGCAGTTTTCACCGAGGATAACACACTCTTTGTATTCTCTCCATTGAATCCAACTCCCGTGTACATAAGAAAAAATATTTTAGAAGATAACAGTTCAGTGCTGGCTGCAAGTTTTGTTCCTCTTCCTTGTGAAAAGCGCGTCATGAACCACAAAAAATGGCAAAGAAAATCACAATTATTTTTCTTAGACTCAAATCAAGAACTCTTGACCCTTGAAACGGAGTCCGAAGCTGCTACTTCTTTAGAAAATTTGATAATAGGTCATGGCTTGCCAGTGACAGCTTTCAGTCACATGTTGGCTGAAGAGACAGCCAGTAGTATTGAACGCGACACATCTTTCTTCCACGACCAATTTAATACTAGCAAAAAAAGTATTGCTGAAGAGGTAAGGGTTGTCAAAATATTTATTTATCAAACTGTTTAATTATTTTATTTTTTCATTTTCTATTTTACTACAATTATTATTTTTTAAAAAGTCTTTAGTCTGAGTTATTTTTTTTAGAAAATTTTATCTGAGACATTAAGTAGATCTTATAGGTAACTGGAATGATATGTTGTAAGGTATACCAGCCAGCTTGATCCTGATATGTCAGTGTTTTCTTGACAGGCGATAATTTCTACAACGTCGTACTAAGTCAAATTTCCTGTAACGCAGACAGTGCCATTGAGGTATCTGTCTCATGTTTTCAAATGCCTATTAAAAAAAAAATAAATTTATTTTGTTAAAAAAAAAAAAAAAAAAAAAAAATAACTTGCAGATAAAATATGACACTGAAGTATAATACTAAAGTTAGCCGACATTTTCAATTTTTTTTTCATTTATGAAATTAAAGCTAAAAAATATTTTTTAAAAAATTGAATAAATTATTACAGAAGAATTTTTTTTAAAAATTGCATTTGTTAAAAACTTAAAAAGCAATAAGTGCATTTTTTAAAAAATATTTTTTTGTTCTAATTTAATTATTAAAAAATTAAAAACGTCGGCTAACTTAAGTATCATCTTCGGTGTCATGATAAAATTACTTACGGCATCGGGGTCGCTCACGGGATATCCGTGGACAACTACGCCGAGAATCGTCAAGAAGAAAAGAAACACAATACTGAAATTCATTCGCACTGTCTTTCAGTAGTTTTACAGTAAAATAGTCCTCGGAAATTCGACCAATTATTTTTTTTTTACAAAAAAAAATTTATTTAATTAAAAAATCCTTAAAATTAATAATTTAATTTATAGGAGTTCTGAATCAGTCAACTCAACAGTAACTTTACTACTGGTCTTTCATAAGTCTCGGCATCATTTAATATAGACCGTAGTCTCCCCTCCGAGTTTCTCTTTTCTCATCTCTTTCTCGTATTTTCTCCTTCTTTTCTTTATAATTAAATTATTTATTTTGATCAATTTGATTATAATTACATAAACAAATTTTAGAAATAAATAAAATAGCTAGAAAATAATTAAAGACATTTAATAAAGTGATCCTTGATGCTTGCAAGTGTCTCTTCTAGTTAGACTTCTTAGAAGATGATACATGACAGGGTAGAAAATATTTAAATAAACTTGACGTTGTTCCTTAAATTCATTACTCACCAGTTTGAGAGTACATATTTTTATTAAGCATCGAGAGCAGTGACCGGAGGATCAGTGCTCTGGCAATTGATCTGACATAATCTGCTGTTGACAAGTGGGGAAGGTGTTAGCTACAAAGTAAACCGTTTATTTTACCAAGTGATCATTCACTTATTATTATTAACAATGATAACAGTCAAATAGTGTTGCCGGAAAATTTATCGCCTATTTTATATTTTATCAGTTGGGTCAACAATAAACGCCCCGTGATTTCTAAGCGCAGGAAATAGAAACAGAGACAAACTTTATGTCATAAAAAAAAAAATATTTTACATTGACGTGTGAATATACTCATATGTATAAATTCAGACCAATTAATTTAAATGTTTTTTTTTTTTTTTTTATTTTATTATGACAAACAGTGCTAACGCCAGAGGATGTACGTGGGCTTTATAGACGTACAGATGAATCAACCTCGATTCTAAGCAAATTGCGAAAAGTATAAATTTAGGTCGCGGCTTTACCTTAAATCCTACTTAAACTTTTATTATTTATAAATTTATGCTCTTATTTAATATATTAAATATTGTAAATTACTGATAATAATCTCGTCCTTGATTTTACAGCTTCTGACGATCCCGGCGCACACGTTACCTTCGAAAAAGATTTTGTATGGACCCTTTGTCTTGTCATTCAAAGCTCATATCACCGAGAAAGTCAAAGTTCAAGAGGAAAAACTTTCAGGGTATGTTTACAAATAGTTTATAATATAAACAATACATATTGTTTAAAAATATTTATTTATTTTTAGTTTATTTGTTTCAGTTGTGACGTTAATTATCTTTTATAAGCTATTTTTATAAATACTTTACTTAAATTTTTATTTTTTTATATATATAAACGCCAATCAGTATTAAAGTTTCATGTAATTCTTATCGATAGTCAATTTATATTAAGTATTTAAATTGCATTCGAAAATGTTCTATCTCTAGATATATAATTAAGAAATGATCTTGTATCTTGAGAACTGTTGACATTTTTAAAGATATAAGCTCATCCTGATGTTACACTCATCGAGACCTTTCATTTGAGTACCCACATCAACTTTTCATATATTTATATATATATATATATATATATTAAAATGCATGTGGGTACTCAAATGAAAGCTCTTGAAGAGTGTAACATCAAAATGAGCTTATATCTTTAAAACCATCAATATTTAAGAAAGTACAGAGCAATTTAACAAAAGTCATTATTTAATAAAGCAAAATTGTATATTATATCATTACATATTTTATATTTTTTCAGGGAAGACAATGAATTGTCTACTGACGCTGCCAATGATAGTGATGATGAAGACACAAGTAAAATAATAATAAAAGATTGTCCGAAAAAGGAAAAGAAAACAATTAACCAATCTGACGTCAAAAATAATATTCATGACGAGTTTGAGACAAATCCCAATCTCGTCAGTTATGACTGGAAATGCGTGGCTGATATTTATTCCAGCTAGACTTTGAAATTCTCACATGACTATTTCTCTAAAATTGATTTAAATAAACTTTACCTAACTTTAAAATTTTAAATATTATACACAAGCTTTTATTGTAAAATTCTTATAAATTAATTTTTATATCAATATTCTCAACTATTTTTTTTTTTTTTTAAATTATTTTAACAAGGTTCAGGCAGAGAATGAAGTTTAACAGATAACTCAACTAACTCTTCAACAATATCTCGCAACATAGAATTATAACCCGGATCTTTCTTCATATTTTTAAGCACAAAATCCCTCCGGTCCTCGTACCGGAATTGAGTGTAACTTTCCGGATTGTTCATTATTTCAGCTCCGATCTTGCCATCAAGAAGAGTAGTTGGAAAATACAGTGTAGCTGTGATAACAGCGCCAAGCTTTTGTTCATTATATCCATCAATAATTTCTTCCCACAGTGGATAATTTTTAATAACTGGATTCATTTTTAAACATTTAATCAAATTATTGTAATAGTATTTTATCATTTCCAGAGATTTAGCATCACGGAATTTGCGCGAAGCGCAAAGATGAAGAAATAAAGCAACGTCTGCTGCAAGTGGTGAATACCGAAGAAGTTGAAAGTCAATTATTCGGCAACGTGGAGGTGATGAATTGTCAAACATAAGATTATTGGACCACAAATCACCGTGGCTTATAACGTTGCGCCTTTTTGCAGAAGGTTTTATCGCATCAAAGACTTTTTTACAAGCCTCAGAAATATATTTTGTTTCTAAATTCATATCTTCAGCTATTTTTACAGCAACATCAACACCGGCACAGTACCACTGATATTGAAGTCCTGAAGTAAGAAAATAATTTTGTTCAATAATATGAGGATAGACGTCAATAAGCGGCCGCCCTAAATGTTCTTCAACAACTAAAGAAGCTGCGTGAAGATTTGCCAGAGCTCTTAAACCGGATTTTATAAATTCTTCATCCAAAATTTTGGTCGAACACATTTTAAATCCTTTGTGTCCTAAATCTTCCAGGACTAATGCATCATTTTTTATTAAATAACAACGAGGACCCCAAATGTCTCCAGTATACTCGATTAACATCTTGGGTACAAGATCTTGGAAGAAGCCAGTCTCTTGGCGAAACACCTCCGTGTCTTTTATGTACGTCGCTTGATCAGGATAATCATACGGCACAACTTTAACGAAGAAACTTTTTTTTAATGAAGAACCGTCTATATTTTTCACCACAACAACCAAGCGTAAGTGTGAAGATAAAAATCCTATTTTTTCGTCTGAGTAATTTTTTAGTGAGTACGCTAAGACCTGCACTTGATTCCCGACTTTACTTTTTGCTATTTTTTTTACGTCATCCTTGGTGATGATTTTTGTAAAATCAAATGGACTTGCTGCTGTTCTACAAGCCATGACTGACACTACTTATCAATGCATCAAGTTGAACTTCAACTTATATACTCTAAAGCTATTTATTTAAGGATTTTTATCGTAATACAACAGCAAATATTTTAATTACATTTTAATTGATATAATGCGGAAATAGTAAATCAAAATGATGTGTTGATATCTTGATAAGTCAGAAAGTGTGTCAAGATATTTATAAAAAAAATTTAATCTGCATCACGTCGTATGAAAAGCCAATACGGAATTTCAACAATGCTAAGGACACTTGCACCAACAAAGAGACCCAATGCGCTTCCTACTGAAACTTAAATTTAACAAATTTAATTAATATAATTATTAAAATTAATTAATATTTCTTACCTACAATATCTAGCAGTGAAAAAACAGTGTACCGCTCATAGCGCTTAACTGGACCAGGTAACATATTAAATTCTAATTTAGTCACAGCCCAAGGTGGAATATTGTCTTCGTCCAAAGTATTGCGATCTTGAATGACTATTATTTCTTCACAATCTGGTAAACAATTATCATTTTCCACTTGAACAATAGCATCTCTGTTTTCAAATCCACATTTAAGTTCCGTAGAATTACACGTTTTAAATTCTTTTGAATAGGGAAAAAGATGACCCACACATCCACAGCTCGAGTTAAATTTTTTAATTTGAGTCTCGAGCATGCATGCGTGGTAGTTGTAAGTTTTTAGAAGAAATAAATTATCAGCTTCTGCGGGAAATCGACATCGACGGTCTTCTATGGACAGAGAGTAAACTCCAGGCTCATTGTAGGTGGGTATTTGAGTTATATCCCAGACTGTTGGAGTTGGATTGCCCCACTGGACTGTTAGAATTATATCACGACCGCCTTTTTCAGTCGGAAGTTCTAGTTGATTCGTCAAGATTAACTTAAAAAAAAAAAAAAAAAAAAAAAAAAATAAATTATCTATATTTTTAATTTGTGCCTTTTCAAGGTTTCATATTATGATTAAGTATTTAGGGTGCATTCGAAAATTCTCTATCTCTAGATAGATAATTAAGAAATGACCTTGTATCTTGTGAACCATTGACATTTTTAAAGATATAAGCTCATCCTGACATTATACTCATCGAGATCTTTCATTTGAGTACCCACATCAATTTTTCATATATTTTATATATTTATATATGTATATATGTATATATGAAAAATATATCAAAAATGCATGTGGGTACTCAAATGAAAGCTCTTGATGAGTGTAACATCGGGATGAGCTTATATATCTTTAAAAATGTCAATATTTAAGAAAGTACAGTGCAATTTAACAAAAGTCAGGTGTAATGCACTTCTATGGAATGTATACCCAAAAGTAAATAAATAAATATTATATATACTCCTTACATTAAAGTAAGGATGTGATGCACTCCAGTAATTTGTTTTGTTGGGATAAATTATAAACCTCGCACTTTTTTTATGGTGATCCATTGTGAATTTAGGAAGATGAGGATCATCGGGAAGTTTTGAGTGAAGACTATTGAATGAAAGACAGTGCCCGAGATTTGTTGATAATGGAAAAAATAGCTTGCAGCAATCAATTACTTCGTCATTCCATATGCAGACTCCAAAAATATCAGCGCAGTTGGGTTTTACCTTTGTTTTAAAAGTAAAATTATTTTTAAAAATATTAATTAATATTTTAATTAGTTACATATTTTCCTAATTGGAAAAATTCTTCGGATGTTATTGGTTTTGGAAGTGACCCGTCGTACCCCATTTTTGCCCAGTGACTTAAACGACTTAAAATTGATGCTTTGCGAGGATTGATACCTGTAATTCTGACAAAAATAATTAAATAGATAAAATTATTTATAAAATTCTTAAAGCTATATTAAATATAAAATATACTCTGTTGCATAATCTCTGGCTCGGGAGCTGAAAGAAAAACAAAAATGAAGCGCTGGGAAATTAACTTCCCATTTTAAATAATCTGTGTCCATTGTAATTGCCACTTTACGAGTTATAAAGTCAGAAATAATCCCCATGATTAATGAAGTACAGAGCCACCAACTCAGACCGCAGGCAATCATCCAAAAAATTCTGCAATTAAAAATAAAATTATTGTTTGTATTTTTATTAATTTATTTAATAAAGTACTTACTTTTCTGACCAGTGGAGCTCTTCGTCAACAAGATATCCTATTCCATGAAGACTTGAGTTTTCAAAATATGTTTTTATTATTTTCCAGATGCTAAATTTTTTTTTCGGCTCCTTTTTTCTCATTTTTATTGTTTCGCTTGAATTTTTTGACTTGTCCATTGTAATACGCTGTTTAATAATGATTTATTATTCTTCACGGTAGGAAATTTACGCCGTATATTTACAATAAATTATTCAATAAAGATTGTTATCATAAAACACCGTATAAATTTATCTTTTGAAATATCAGATCATGAAATTCCACTTGTAAATAAATAAAATAATTATCATCACGCGAGGGTGTTTATAAATTATTATTTTTATTTGTAATAAATAAATTAATGAGCCAAGTTTAATAAATAAATTATTTAATTCTTATACCAAGTTTATAATATTATAATTGTTAGTTGAAAAAATTACATTTTTACATTTTTTTTAATTTCTACATGTCAATTTTTTTAAATAATTTTTTTGTTATAATTTATTTATTATAAAATTTAAAAAATTATTAAATATCTGCTAAATTAATTTTCATCAAATTTTTCTATAATTTTTATTTAAAATAATGATACTGAAGTTAGCTGTCAGCTGTCAATTTTTAAAATTTTCATTACAATAAATCAAAAATAAAAACTTAATAAGTGACTGCTAACTGTAATGTCATGCATAATAATATAATAATGCTATCAATCGATCATTACTTAAAAATAAATTTAAAACAAAGATATTTGATGACATCAGGCAATTAAAAAAAAAACAAGATGGAAGTAATTTCCGGTAACTTTTATTTTATTTAAAATTTTATCCTACTCTAAGTATATAAGGGTCCTAAGACTATCCTGTGAGAAAGTGAGAGAGAAAAATACCTATAGTGCGTGCGTTTCAATCGTTGGCGCTAGTGGGCCTTCTAGAAGGAAAGATTTGCGACTTGCGACTGTATAGTCTATCGTATACCTGTAATAGAGACCCAAATTAATTACAGAACTTAATTTTATTATTTAACCTCACAGCAATCTACAAATCAGTTAATCGTGGTACGATCAAAAGTGTGCAGCAAAAGTTTTTTTTAATAAATTTGTTATATAATTATTCATAATTGATCCAACTAATAACAACGTTATAATGGCGTTAAATCCGTCGTACGAAGCAATCGGCAAGGGCTTCGTCAGCCAATATTACGCACTCTTTGATGACCCTAATCAAAGACCGAATCTAATTAATCTGTACAGCGTAAGTATTTTATTTATTACTCGTTAATTATTACCTTAATTATTATTTTTTGATTAACTAGCAAACATAACCTAAATGTGTGGTATCTTGTAGGCGGAGTCATCGTTTATGACTTTTGAAGGCCAACAAATTCAAGGAGGCCTTAAAATAATGGAGAAGCTCAATGTAATTATTAATTTTTTCAATCAGCTGTTTATTTAAATCACCAATTTAAATTAATTTAAATTATTTTTTTAGAGCCTGGGTTTCCAAAAAATTGAACGTGCAGTCACGTCTGTTGACTCTCAGCCAATGTTCGATGGTGGAGTACTAATTAGTGTTTTTGGTAGATTGAGGGTAAATATTAATTAAATAATTTATTTTATAAAGTTAAGGAATGTTTATTATAATAATTATAATAGAAAAAATGTTTAGCTAATTCTGTTTCAAAAATATAGAGCTTAATTGAATGTTATATATATAATTATATTAAAATTAGCAGTCAGGACAATTTTTTAATTTTATTTAACAAAAAAATTTATTATTTTAACGATAAATACAATTTTTTGCCATAATTTATTTGTTAGAATTATAAAATATCTGGTAAATTAATTTTAAAGAAATAAAGTGATTATCTTGATGGTTGGGCAGACCGATGATGATCATCCCCATGCGTATGTCCAGACTTTTGTCTTATCGCCTATCGGCACCAGCTTTTTCGTGCAGCACGACATCTTCAGACTCGGGTTGCACAACGAAATCTAAGCTATAAATCTTTTCGATCGTCCAATCATTATGAATCGTGGTAAAAATAAATAACCAACCTCAAGAAATTTTTATCGCCTCAAATCACCTTTGCTTGATTCCTTAAATTAACTAGTTGACATATCACTTTTATTTAATTATAATAATTAATTCTTTTTATTAATATTTTAACAGAGCATGATTTATCAATTAGTTATTAATTTTATAAATACTAATTTGAATTTACAATTAATATTTTCCATAAATTCTAAAGTAGAATCGAAGAAAAGTTTGACTTTTTTTTAGTATAAAATCTTATTTTTTTTTTTTTATCTTACAGAAGCTTAATAAAATAATTTAATATTACAGACTGATGACGATCCTCCGCACATGTACTTCCAGACGTTTGTGCTGAAGCCACTGGCAAATTCATTCTTCTGTCAACATGATATCTTCCGTCTTGGTATTCATGACAAATTATAAGAAGAGCAGAAGTTATAAGATTGAATTTTAATAAAATAAAAAAACAAATCTTGAAAGGAGATAAAAATACTGCTCGTTGATTTTTCATCAACAATTTCGAGTAACAGTTTCGAGTAACTACCAGAGCTGATCTCGGAAATTAAAATAAAAAAAGTAACAAAAGAAATAAAGCTTTCTATGTATCTTTTTTTTTTTTTTTTTTTTTACATTTACTCATTAATTTTCTTATTGTAACTATAAACTCAACGCTTTGTTTTACTTTTACATTCATTGCAACATTTTCATTTAATAATACTTAGACAGAGTTTTTATACGACAAAATAACTAAAATTTTATAAATAGTTTCAATAAAGGATAATTTAATTTAAATTGCTTTTTATAATTATTTTTAGTACTTTTTATTGATAACATTTTTATTATTTATTTGTTTCACTAATTAATAATTATAATTAATGAATTCCCTTAATTATTTTAATAAAAAAATAAAATCTGGTCGATAATTTGTAATTAAAAAAATTATATTACTTTAACATGATTAATAATTAAAAATAAGTATATTAATTGTTGAAAAAAATTATATTTTTTTTTTAAATAATTAATGAAGAGTGTTTATAAATTTCCACGTTTTTCTTGCTCTTTTTCAATAGCTTCAAATAGTGCTTGAAAATTTCCAGCTCCAAAGCCCTGTAAGCGAAAATTAAATTAATTATTTAATTAAAAAATTTTTTTTATTAAAAAAAATACTTACATTGTGATTCCTACGCTGAATTATTTCAATAAACAGTGTAGGCCTGTCTTCGACATTTTTTGAGAAGATTTGAAGAAGATAACCATTTTCATCGAAATCAATAAGAATTTTAAGTTTCTGAAGAACTGTTAGATCTTCTATTACTTTTGTACTGCTAGACTTTAACCGGTGTCTGAGCATATCGTAATAACTGTCTGGGACATACAAAAATTCAACCCCACGCGCTCTTAAATTTTCAATTGACGCAATTATGTCACTTGTATTAAGAGCGATGTGTTGAATACCCGGGCCTCCGTAGTACTCAACAAATTCTTGGATTTGAGACCGTCTTTTTCCTGGTGCTGGCTCGTTTATTGGGATCTTCACCGTTTCTTCCCAATTAGTCATTACGATGGAACGGAGAGCTGAGAATTCTGTGTGAAGCTGAGTGTCATCGACAGACCAAAATCTGTGGAACTGCAGACACTGTTCATACCTGGTGTAATAATTAATAAATTATTTGAATAGATTAAAAAAAAATTTGTTTTTTTAATTATTTACTTAAATATTTACCACTTAGCAACAGGCTCCATTTGTTGGTCCGGCTGATTACCGACACAATGATCAACAAAATCCAATAAAGTTGGCGGTCTGTAATAATATATTATTTTAATAATTTGTAATAATTTTTTAAATAAAAAAAATTCTAAAACTTGTCAAATGTCTGCTAATTTTATAAAAATTAATTGATCAGACATTTAACAATTTTTGTAACAAATAAGTAAATAAAATTTTTAATTATAAAAAAAAAAAAAACTTACAGTAGTCTGCAGATAGGGTCAGGCTGCACATCAACAAATCCTGGAAGAAAACGCCCCTTATACTTTGTTCTGTCAATTAAAGTGTGCAATGTGTCGCCAAACTATAAATAGAAATAAATTTTCTTTATGTATACTAATGATTGTTTAGAAATAAATAAAAATTAACTGTTTGAATCGTAGCCGTCTTAACAATTCCATGTTGATCTTTTTCTTCTTTGACATCTTTAACAATTGTAGCGCCACGCTCTTTTGCAACTCGAACAATAGCGTCAATATCTTCAACATTAAAAGCGATATCTCTCACTCCGTCTCCGTGTCGTGCTAAATGCTGGGACATCTCTTTGTCATCTGGCTCATAAGCAGACTCAAATACAAAAATAATTTTATTTTGTCTGACAGCATGAGAAGCTAATTTTCGTGAGCCGGTTTCTAATCCTCGGTAGCCCAGTGGTTCGAAGCCGAATCTCGCGCAATAAAAAGCCGCTGCTTGCTTTGCATTTCCTACCCACAATGTCAGGTGATCAAAAGCTAAAAATTTTCCACCGATAGGCTAAAAAAATATTTAATTTTTTAATAATACTAATTTAGTTATATTATTAATTAAATTAGAATTAAGCAAGTTTTTTTTTCAATAAAAATATTTATTTTTATAATGCTGAAGTTAGCTGACAGCTGTGTCAATTTTTTTTAATGACAAAAAAAATTTTTACTAACAACTTTTTCGAATTTTCACATGTAGAATTTTCTTGTTTAATTTTTTCTATGATAATTTAATTACTATAAAATTATAAAAAGAATTTTTAATGTTAGTTAACTTCAGTGTCTTATATTTTTAATTTAATAAAAATATTATTTTTAAATAAACTTACTTTTGGGCCTTTATCCGTGTAAGTAGTCTGTAAAAAGTAAAAAAAATATATTTTTATTAATATTAAATTAATTTTATAGCAATAAAAATATTTATGCTATAATTAACTCACCATATTTTCGACTGCAAATTGATAAATACTTTTTTAATCTTAAATGATGATAAACCAGCTATCTCTTGATACAAACTGGAGACTCGCTGCTTTTGAGCATTTAAATAAGAGAGACTTGAAAGTGGGTAGGACCTAAATCTTTAAAGCAATTGGCTGGAAGACGGAGGCTTGTTTACCAAACAAGTTTCAAGTTTTTATTTTATTATAAATTAAAACAAGATTATTAATTATCTAGAAATATTAAAACCGGATTGTCACCAAGTAAGCGCATGATTTCTACCAACTTATTTCAAATTACTAAAATAATCTTCTAAGTTTTCAATTTTAAAAAAAATATTTTTAAAAATTGTATAATTAATTAATTTTTTAAAACTATTTTTCTCATTGATATGCTAAAAATTTTTCCCTGTATTTAATAATTTATTTATTGTCGTCATAAACAAATACAATATTTGTATATTTAATTATTCAAGGATTAAAATTAAAACAAAGTAATTCTGCGTAATTTGCAATAAATAATAGTTGTTTATTATAAAATTTTTTTCAATACAATTAAAAGAAAAAAAAATAATATTTAAATGAATTTTATAAATTAAAAATAACTACATAAATATTTTCATTTAAAGTAAAGGTAATCAACTATTACAGAGTGGATAATAAAATAATACGGCGTAGTTGATATTGATAGTCAATAAAAAAAGTTTAGAAAAGTTTTACGCGATAAATATGGTAATTAACTGAAACGTATAGCTTAAGATGAATTAAAATAAAATAAACGTATATAATTTTTAAACTTGAATTTTATTCTACAGGAATCAAATTATAATTATAAAATATTTAAAGTAAACAATTCAATTTATTAAATTGTAAATAATTTTTTTATGTCTAGATAAAATACTGTTTTGATCGATATATGCTTACGATAAAATTCTAAAAAGAAAATTCTATACCTAAGGGACTGATTAAATATTGCAGGACTAATAATATATAACAATGATAAACTTATTAATATTTAAAATATTAATCTAAAAAATTTCGATGATTTAGTAGCAATGTACCAGCAAAAATGGAATGGCTTCGTAACGGACAGTTAAGCTTACAAAATTGCGACGGATTATTAATATAATTTTAATTATCTAAACAAAATGAATTAATTAAATAAATATGATTGTCATTAATTAAAATTATCACATACATTATTTCTTAATCAACAGACGATTAATTCCTCAGGAAGTTACATTAAGTGAAAAAATGTAATCAGTTACAAAAATACAGATAGAAAATAGCTCAGGAATCAACCTGATGATTAATAAACGGATTGTAAATATAGCAAATAGTTATTGGCATTTTATGTAGCAGCAAATTCTCAAAGAAAATAAGCAATTGGCAATTGCTGATTTTTTTTTTTATAAAATAATTATTCCATGATCACGCTCGAGGCGACGTTTTGCTTTCAAAGGAACGACTCCCATGAGATCAGCAGGTGTTGGTAATCCACCTGAAGTACTGGACGCTACGGCTTGCTGATAAAAAACTTGAGTCTTACCGCACTGGCTTCCATAGACAACGGTGTCGTCAGTCCTTACAATAATATCAGTGAGATTGCTGGACTCTGTGAAACGATTGTATAAAGAAGAAACAATGTCTAGCTCTGTAACACCCCAGAGACCAGAACGATCAAGTGTATCCCACTGTGGATCAACACTGAGCACACTGTAAAGCTCCTTGTGTTCGCCTGATGGCAAAGGATCCAAACAGTGCTGCAAACGGGATTCTAAATTTCCTAGCGTGTTGATTGAAGTCTTCCACTAGAAAAAAAATAAATGAAATTTTGCTTTATTAAATAATGACTTTTATTAAATTACACTGTACTTTTATAATTATTGACATTTGTAAAGATATATAAGCTCATCCCGATGTTACACTCATCAAGAGCTTTCATTTGAGTACCCACATGCATTTTTGATATATTTTTCATATATACATATATATTATATATATAAATATATGAAATATATGAAAAATTAATGTGGGTACTCAAATGGAAGGTCTTGATGAGTGTAACATCGAAATGAGCTTATATCTTTAAAAATGTCAATAGTTACACGAGATACAAGGTCATTTCTTAATTATATATCTAGAGATAGAGCATTTTCGAATACAGTCTAAGTTCTTATAATCATAAATTGACTATTTATATATGATATATAAAATAATTTATCAACTTACAAGATTGTGAATTAATTCAGGATTATTAGCAGTCCCATCTTCCATCAGAAGAAACAAAACCATATTATTTTGTCCGCATATAAAAAGTTCAGCTTTCTCACAATTCCCTTCCTTAGCTTCTTTATCACTAAGCCAAAAATCTTCTTCATCTTCATCATGACCCGCCTTAATATATTCCGATTTATTTCTAGTAATTTTACTAGAGAAAGTAGATAAATCACAGAATTCACTGGGAGTTGTCTCTTTACTACAAAACCCACTTGTCCGGTCATCAGTCGCTAGTAAACTAAGCTTAGACATCAAAGGAGTCAATTGAAGTCCTTCAAGCTTACGTCTCGGTAAATCAAACGACATTCCCGACTCTGAGGATGCTTTTTTACGATCATCGCTGTCTGCCGGTGCATTGAGACTCTTTAGAGGCAAACTCATTGACCTGCGATAGCTCTCCTGGCGACTTTTATTATTCAATCTTACATCTAGAGGGTTAGATCGCAGTTCAGGTAGCTCCGGAATCACAGAATCAAAACCATCAATATGATTTTCACTTGGATTTTTTTTATCGCAATCAATCATTCTATTCAGTGATTTACGTCTAAAAAAATCCGCACTCTGTTCTTTAACTAGTTCTTGATAATGCGATGAAATATAGTGAGTGTACAAAGATTGGGACACAGGACGTCCGTCGTACCTAAAAACTGGATACGAAGGATCTGTGATAGTATTAAACAACCTTTTATTTAAATAATGAGCCTTGCAATCAAACTCTGAAGAATTTAATGATGACTTAGAATGACTTATGTTGCACATAATACTCATAACAAATTTTTCGGTAGCATCTCGAGTATTTTCCAAGTCTGTTAAGCTAGAACTCCGTCGATGCCACGGCTGGCGATTTTTTTTCTCAAATTTTTCTCGAGCAGCGCTCCGAAGTTTGTTAAACCGCTTGCATCGCAGCGCTTCTTTAACAACATCAGGAATATCATCGTTGTCTTTTTGCACTGCAACTTCTTTTGGCTTCTCAATTATTTTTTCCTCATCAGTCCCCTTGCAAATAGACACAGCATTGCCGTGGAGAATTCTATTGACGTCTTTCAGAGGAGTGGAGCAAACACTTGGTGTTAAAGGATTAGGATACCTCGGTTTAAATTCTTTTCTTTCAAAATTAGCCAGTGGAATTGTGGGTGGGCGCTTAGGTTGTGAAAATTCTTTAAGTGACTCGGAATGTTCGGGCTCTCCTTCTTCAGGAACTGTAAAAATACGGGACGTATCTCTCTTCATGCCGGACGGCAAGGAAGACTTTTTATATTTCTTCACCACATCTGACCCAGAAGTGGAGAATTTAAAATTATCATCAGAAAATTCAACTGGCTTTCTTTGGATGTAAACTCTTAATAATTGAACACCAACTGGAAGATGAAAGTCAGTTGGTATTCGATCAGCTGGGGCTTTTATCCGATAAGGATCTGTTATCACTAATTGCTTAGTTAGCTCAGCGCTTAATTGAGTAGCCACTACTTTGTTGTTATAAAACATTGCTCCGCCGAGAATTCCACTCATTTCTTGGCAGTATTGCAATATTTGCATCGATTCTAGGAAGACGTTGCTTGCAGTGCTGGGCAATTTAATCATCGGTATATTGGAGAACAAATTAGCGCTGTACTGCAATATTGGAAGATAAGTCTCAAACATTTGATAAAGTTTTTCGGTGAATTTATTGCGTTCATTATTAAATGATTGTGAAATTGTGTCAAGGTTGCAGTGAAAAAACTTCAATATTGACTCGAGACAATTAGCACGTCGTTCGAGAATCCAATCTTGAATATTGCGGTCGGTACCAACTGCTAAAATATAGTGGCTGAATTTTTTTAAAACAAACTTTCCTCCTTGGAGAGTTATTAAATTTGGAGATGAAAAACATGTTGATAAAAATTGGTAAGCTCCCATTAGTTGACCTGCCAGAGCAAGACGTTGGGCTGGAGAGACCCAAGCTGGGTGGAAGTACATCACGGCTTCGGCTGGATCGTCCTCTTCTTTACGACACCTTGTTGTGTCGTAAATGAAGACAATCATCATTTCTCTGGAAAATAAATATATATTTTATTTTATTAAGTTTGATTTTTAGTTATTGACTCACACAAGCTTGAAGTTTCCATTATCTCTTGTAAATATCAATGAATTAAATAGTGACATGAGAAATAAATTATTATACTAAAGTTAGCTGACGTTTTTAATTTTTTGATTTTTAATAATTAAATTAAAACAAAAAAATATTTTTAAAAAATTGCACTTGTAGTTTTTCAAGTTTTTTACTCAGCTGTTAATTTTAAAAATTTTAACAACAAATCAATTATAATAAAAAAATCCCTCTAAAAATTTTCACTTATAATTTTTATTAGTTTTCGACATGTGGAACTTTTTAATGAAATTTTTTTTTATAATAATTTAATTGCCATAAAATTCTAATGTCTGTCAACTCCAGTGTCGTAAATGAATTACGCGTGTAAAAATAAATAAAAAAAAATTATTAAAATCCAGGTTTGCAATAAACTGTTCGACTGTAATGTGTGTCGTTAGTAAACAATCCATTATCTCACCGGTGTGTTTTAATTAGATAAAAAGATTACGCAACTTACTTAGCCATAGTGATGATTTTATGACTGACGTGACAGTCGGCTCAAGATCTTCTTTAGTGTAGATTATTTGACAGCTGTCCTTGTAATTATTTGAACCATACCAGTGGTCACATACTGTTTACGACAATAAGTTCGATAAGAATCTTCATTACATGTTTTTTTTTTAATTTATGTCCAACAACTGGCATGATACACTTCGTCGCGCCATCATGTTATTGATTTGAGTGATAACAAATGAGAGTTGAGTAGAGAAGAGGATAATCGAGACTACGGTTAGAGTTAGATCATGACTACTATCAGGAATACATGCTTGGATGCTGCGTAGTAGACGGATAACCTCCCACGTCGATGAGAAAACTTTTTTTTTTTTATTAGAAATCCTGTTGATATTTTTTTTTAACACAGAAAAATAAATTACACTGAAGTTATATAACTGACGTTAAAAATTTATTTGTTATATTATAGCGATTAATTTAATTATTAATTACACATTTAAAATTAAAAATAAAATTATTAGAAATTTTTTAAAGCATTTTTTTAATTGTAATTAATTTTTTATAAAAATTTGACAGCTGTCAGCTAACTTCAGATTTTTAAAGTGGACGCCATTTTAGAAATGCGCGCGCATTCAATTTTAGCGCCAAAAATTTAAAAAAAAAAAAATTGGAGGTAAAATAAAGTTTAAAAATTAAATAATTATAATGAAATACATATTTTAATACTATCTTTTTTTTCACAAATTACAATTTTATAAACGTTACAATAAATATAAAAATTGGGAAACCATAAACATTAAGTAAATTAAGCTGCAGTACAGTGAATGAATTAATTGTAAAAATTGTGTTTGCATTTCCCCTTTAAACATAAATAATAGTAGTATTAATTATTGATGTCATTTAAAATTTTAGTCATTGTCATTATTACGAAAAATCGTCAAATTATAATAGTAGAATCAATATTTACAAAAAAAAATTAGTTAATTAATTTAGAAATTGCACTCAAGAGTGAATTGAGTCGAATCAGATGGCATGACACCAAACTTCTGATATTCGCCCACTTTTTTCTCAAAAAAGTTTGTCTTGCCGTCAAGGGAAATGTGTTCCATAAAATCGAAGGGATTTTCTGAGTTATAAACCTGAAATTAATAAATAAATATCTCGAATTAGTTTTTAAAAATTCATTGATGAAATAAATGTTAAAAAAATAAATGTAAGTTTACCTTTTCACAACCAAGCTCAAGGAGAAGTCGATCAGCAACGAACTCAATATAACGACACATGAGGTCACAGTTCATGCCAATCATTTGACATGGTAGAGCGACTGTTAAAAATTCTTGCTCTATTTTTACGGCGTCCTTGATAATGTTAGTAACACGTTGCTTTGATGGCTTTTGAACTATGTGTTTGAACATCAAGCAAGCAAAATCGCAGTGTAATCCCTGTAATAAATTTAAAAGATTAAATTAATTGATAATGCATAAAAAAAAAATTTTTTTTTTGAATAATTAAATCAACTCACTTCGTCACGGGATATTAATTCATTACTGAACGTCAGTCCAGGCATAAGCCCTCTCTTTTTTAACCAGAATATAGAGGCGAAACTTCCGCTGAAGAAAATGCCTTCGACAGCTGCAAAAGCTATTACTCTTTCAGCAAAAGTCGCTTTGTCATTACTTATCCAATTTAATGCCCATTCAGCTTTCTTGGCAACACATGGAAGAGTCTCGATCGCATTGAACAGGTATTCTCGTTCTTTGTCATTCTTTATGTAGGTGTCAATCAGCAAAGAATACATTTCAGAGTGAACATTTTCAATTGCTATTTGAAAACCGTAAAAACAACGAGCTTCGGTGACCTGCACTTCTTGGCTGAATTTTTCCACGAGATTTTCATTTACTATACCATCAGAAGCAGCGAAAAAAGCGAGAATGTGTGAAATAAATTTACGTTCATCGTCTGTTAATTTTACCCAATGATCTATATCCTTTGTAAAAAAAAAAAAAATTAATTAATTTTTAATAAATAAAATTTTTCAATATTAAAATTAGCAATCACTTGATTATTTTATATATATTTTTTTTATAATTAAATTTGTTCAGAAAAATTAATTTTAAAAAATTTGCATTTATAATTTTTTAAAAATTCTACAAGTCAATTTTTTTTTTTTTTTTATTTTTTCATATTTATTTTGTAAAAACAATTCTTAAAATTATCAAATGACTAAATTAATTTTCATAAAATTTTGATAATAATAAAGTTAGCCAACATTTTACATTTTATTATTTTACTTAATTTATTTAATTAGTACTAAAAAATATTTTTTTTAAATTTTTTTTATAAAAATTTTTATATGTCGGTTAACTTTTATTGTCATAAAATTTTTATGAGAAGTAGTAATATTTTTAAATAGTTTAAAATAATATTTACTTTAGACAAGTCAATTTCCTCTACAGTCCAAAAAGACGCCTCAGCTTTCTTGTACATAGCCCAGATATCCGGCCATTCTATCGGAAAAACAACAAAACGACGTGGATTTTCTTTCAAAAGGGGTTCTATCTGAGTGTCAAATGCATTTTCTTCAAAGTTCAATTTTTTAACTGCCTGTTGAACGACCTAGACCGTGAAAAATTGAGGTTAGTTCCGGTAAATAATTTTCCCCAAGATAGGAAAATTATTGCATCAGCTGTTTTTCTTACCTGGGGTTTAACTTCAGCTTCACGGGAAATTTCAGGCGACATGCAGAGTTTTTTTGATGGTGATGCTTTGTTGGGTGATTCAGTTCTTTTAATGGGAGATATCTGAAATTAATTATTTCAATAAGTGACAATTTACGTACTGTCTTTTTGTCAAGGTCAGCACAAGTGGATATAATTACTCGTTACTTTAAACGCACTTAGACCGCTTATCATGCCGATAGAAAAATTGTCTAGATTTTTTGATAGATAAAAATAACAAAATAAATAAATTCAACGTATGTACATAACATAAAAACATAAGAATTCGGATACTTAATGCGCATATTCATAACCATGATCCGGGAAAACAAAAGAGCTCGATTTTTATTAAATAAATAATAATTCTAAGGTTAAATAAATAAAAAAAAAAAAATAATAGAAAATTAATTATTAATTTAAATGTAAAAAATAAATAAATAAATAAATTTTTCCTCTGGAATAAATTAATTAATTAAAATTTATAATTAACAATTACGTATGACGCTCAGTATAATAATGGAAAAAAAAAGTTCAATATAATTTTTAAATAAAATTAACTTACGTTTTCTTTTAGCTTCATATTTTCGAGATTTCTGAAGATATTCTCTTTGGTAGATTCAATAAGAGCCATGATAATTATTTTTTTCAGTCAATTATTATAATAAGTAACACGAGAGTCTTTCTTTGGGCTTGTTGGGCGGGCGAATGATGCTACGTGACAACTCCAAGAAGGCTATCGTCAATTCTCGCGCCAAATTTATGGAAAAATCGCCGACACGTGTCGCGTCTGACTTTTCTGATTGGCTGTAAAGTTGGTAAGCTCACAACAAAATTTTACTGACCAATAGAATGACTTTATTTTACCTCCAAAAATTTTAGCTGCTTCAGTATGTGATTTATTGAGAAATTATTTATTTAAATTTAGTGTATTGTTTATCGGTTATGTTTACTAAGTGTTTAATTATTATTTGAATTTCATTTTAATTCATCAATTTGTGGTTTTAGATGAGTATACCTACGGTGAGTAACAACCATCGTGGACGCATGCGTATTTTAGATATTTTATGAATAATAGAGTATTTATAAAGAAGTTTTAAAGTTTCCTTATATTAAAAATGATATATTTCATATTGAAAAAAATTAAAAGAATAAATTTGGTATGTAGAAAATTTAATCAGCTGACATTTGAAAATTTTTAGAATTTTTTATTTATAAAAAAGTTAATTTTATTTTTATAAATGTGAAATTAAAATTAACAATCACTTGATCTTTTTTAATATTTCATTTAACAAATTTATTTTTAAAAAATTACATTTTTTATTTATTAAAACTTGTCTATACATTAATTTTTTTATAATTTATTAGTACAAAAATTCTTAAAATTATTAAATATCTTCTAAATTAATTGTCATTTAATAAATTTTTTAAAATATAAAAAAAAATTCTTTAAAATTCAACTATTATTGTATATTTAAATATTAAAAAAAAAAAAAAAAAACTTCTATTATGACAGAAAAAAATTTTAATACTAAATAAAATACAAGCTGTTAATGCTGTAAAATTTTTAAAAATGAAAAAAAAAAAAAAAAATTTCAAATGCTCTAAAAGTAAGTAATAATTACACTAATTAACTATTTTTTATCTGTGAATTGGCCTTCAATTTATTTAATGATTTTTTTAATCGACTTCTCTGTCAGTATCGTTAATTAAGTACACAAAATTTAATAAATTTATTGGGTTGAGCTTCCAAGTAATTTTTTTTAATAAAAAAATTTTGTTAAAAGTTTTAATTAATTATTTAAATATGTTTAATTTATTTTCAATAATTTTTTTACTTAATATAATAATAAAAGTTCATTTGGAAAAGCTGGAAGACAAAAATTCAACAGTGTACCCCTTATCAAGTTCAAAATGCTTCCACAGAGAATCCTTTGACTGTCCTCAAGTAGAAAATCTAAATAATTGTCCTTGTAAAATAATTAAATTTTCTGCAGATGAAATAAATCCAAAAATTGGTATTTATTGCTGCAATTTAAATTCAGAAACACTGATTTCATCTCTTGAATGTGCTAGTAAGTACCTTATCATTTAATTTCAATTAAAAATTTTAACAGTTATCTTTTATTTTTTTAATAGATTTTTCAGTTAATGTTACTGATATTCACATAAGAAATGCTACAATTAAATCATTTAATGTCAGTGAAGCACTATGGAAAAATCTTGAATCATTAGCAATAACCGACGGACAAATTAATAATATTAAAGGTCAATTTAATAATGATACAAAAATATCTTGTTTAAATCTATCAAACAACGCTCTTTCAAAATTTGACAATAATTTTATAGCACAGATGAATTATTTAGAAAATCTTGATTTATCATTTAATAATATAACAGATTTACCAACATTTAGTAGAAGTCTTACAATATTGGATATTTCTGGTAACAATTTTATTTTTTACATTAATCTTCAATGAATTTTTGAACTAATCACCTCATTTATATTTATTAAGGAATGAGTACTATTCCATGTTTAGAAATAAAACAAGCTATCGATAGAGACGAAAGCTATACTCGTCGATTATCTTTCAGAAATCAAAATACAACTGTTTGCTCTGCTGCTACAGATTGGACCTGGTTTAAAGCTGCTGAAAGAATATCTATTGAACTACTACTTCCTGATATCAGTGAAGTATTAACTATTTATTTTTTCAACAAACTGAAAAAAAAAAAAAAAAAAAAAAATGTTTTTTTCATTAATAAGAATTAATTATTAATAATTCAGTGTCCAAAGGGTGAAAATTGGCGCTGTAAATGTACTTTTAATCAATTAATCAAAATAACGCCTGGTTATCCTATATTCAGAACTATCAATGTTGATTGTAGTAATAATAACTTAACAGAGTTACCAAAAAAACTTCCACCTTACACAATTAATCTCGTAGTTTCTCACAATAAAGTATGTCAAAAATCTTTCTATATTTATTTACAATTCTTTTTAATTATATTTTTTTTTTTTTGCAGATCAAAAAAATAGATGACATTGTTACAAATCCATCTTATAAATATTTGATGAATTTTACCGCTGACTACAATGAAATATCGTCAATAAATATTCTTGAAGGGTCACGATTTGTAGAAAACTTTGATTCTTTTTCTTTACGATTCAATAAACTTAAATCAGTAATTAAATTATTTAATCAATTATAATGGTAGCTTAAAATAAATGAATAGAATAATTAATTAATTAATAAATTATTCTAGATTCCGACCCATGTTTTGATACCAGTTACATACAATGCTTCAAATGAAGTGAATGGTAACGTATCTTTAGGTGGAAATAAAATACTGTGTGACTGCTATGCAGCGAAATATCTAAAAAATTGGTTTGAGGTGAATATTCCAGACGGCGATGAAGTTAATTGCAGTAATTCTGTAGATCGTGTAATTGATTTAAATGTTATGAAAATGTGTAAATTTGATGACGAATCGTCTGATTATATTTATTGTATTATTGCCATTGAAGTGATTTTATTGATAACTATTTTAAGTAAATTATTGTTCGATTATTGGTATTATAAAAAAAATAGAAAACTTCCTTGGTTTTCTAGAATAATGCCTAAGACACGTTTTGACTGGCTTTTTGAATTTTATTTATAATTTACTAAAAAAATTATAAATAAATTGTTTATTAAAATATATATATATTTTTATTATATACAAATTTAAATAGAAACTATTTTTTTTCCACTATAACGTTTCATTTTTTTTTTCTTTCGAAAATTTCATCTTTTTACCCTTATCATTGCTCGCTTTTTTTTTCTCCACTTTATTTTTATTATTATTCATAGTCTTGCTTTTAACTTAGTCTTTTTTTGATTCAGGTGATTTTTGAGTTGATTCACTGTAAATAATATTTTATAAAAATTAAATGATGTATAAATTCAACTTTTAAGTAAATAAAAAGTAATAATATAGTAAAAAAAAAAATCAACATACCCAACTTTTTTTTTAATTTTTAGTTTTCTAGGTTTTGAAGCTATTGAATCACGTTTTGGTGCGACTTTTTCTAATTTTTTCCTTTCACGTTTATCATATTTTTTCATTCTAAGCATGTAATCCGGAACATCACACCCAGATGCTCGCATAACTACTGCAATACTATAAAAAATTTTTAATTAATTTAATTAAGTTAATATAAAAATAGCAAATTAAAGTTTTAATTATTTAAATAAAAAATTTTTATAATACCTTCTTAAATTAGTGGTATCGTCTTCAGTGAAAAATGTAATAGCTTTTCCTTTGTGCCCTGCACGACCAGTTCGTCCAATTCGATGTACATAAGAAATAGCCGATGGTGGAAAATCATAATTAATAACAAGATTTACTCCCTTAAAATCAATACCACGGCTCATAAGTTCTGTACAAATGAGTACCCATATTTTACCTTCTCTAAAACATCTCACGACATTGTCTCTCTGAAAATAAATATTTTATAATTTTTGTTAAATTAATTAAAATAATAAAATAATTTTTAAATACTTACTTGTATCTGTGTTCTATCTGCATGAATAAGATCAACATTTATTCCATCATAAATAAGCTCATCAAACAGTTGTTTAGCTCTCTGTTTGCTTTGAACAAATAACAAAACTGGGGGAGCCATTCCTTTGCTAATTATGTCTCTAAAAGCAAGAAGTTTTCCCCTTTCGCTTCCAACGAATAACAATTCTTGATCCACAAGCTCAGTGGCAGCATTTTTCAGCCCAATCGTGACTCTTACTAAGCCTTTCAAATGGCGTTTGCACCATTTGTTGACTATAAAGGTATTTGTTGCACTGAACATGGCAATTCGCAGATTTTCACTGGTACAAGCAGTAGAAATTTGCTTCAACTGACTTCGAAAACTGCGAGGACCAGCTTCGAATAGCTTGTCAGCTTCATCAATAACCAACCACTCTACATTTTGTAGAGAGACCGCTGGTGGTTCGTGGTTTAGCAAACATAATAGCCTTTTAGGCGTTGTGATAAGTATATCAAATTTTTGAGAGCTTTTTGGGCCGTATTTTTCCAGAGCTTGATCTACTTTACTGATAATGTGAATCCTAAAACCCCGTCCTTCGCTCAGTCTTACACATTCTCGGTAAGTTTGCTTGGCTAATTCTCGAGTTGGGTTCAAAATTATCGCTCTAAAACCTCGTTTTTCTGGACCTTTCAAGTGATTAATCATTGGAAGTAAAAATGCCGCTGTTTTACCTGATCCAGTTGGCGCACAAGCTAGCAATGGTCTTTTCTGTGTTAAAAAAAATTAATTATTAAATTTACATGAAAATAATTCATTTTATCAGTGTGTATTTTTTTTTTTTACCTCTAACATGATTGGTATAGCCTGCATTTGAATCGGTGTAGGAGTGGAATAATTACACTCTGCTAAATTTTTTACAAGATCTTCAGGAACATTATAAAATGTTTTAAGATCCTCAAAAGATTTTATTGGTTTAGGAACATTTTTACCTATCACTGAAATACGATGTTCATTTCTCAAACGATTAATCTAGAAATAAACAATAAAAATTGTAAATATTTTCAGAATTAATTAAATATATAAATCTGCTAATTTTAATGTAATTTATAATGTGCAATTTACCTTTTCTTGCTCGAGCATTATTTTTTTTTCTTCATCAGAAATTTTAATTTTTTTATTTTTCTTGACTTTTACCCCATCAGCTGGTAAGCTGATGCCATTGAGTAAAACTAAAGAACTTCCCTCAGAAATTTGTTCATCGTTCGATACTTGATCACGTTTTCTTTTAGAAGAAGGCACTGGATCAACTGGCTCAGTTTTGATGGTGATTTCTTCATTTTTTGATTTTGAAATCTGTGTTAAATTAAAATGTTTTATAAATTTGAGAATAAAAATAAAAATAAGATAATTAACAATTTTTCTTTTTTTAATATTTATAACAATAAAAACAAAATATAAGGTTATACAGCTAATATCTTACTTTAAATTTTTCAATGTCAGTACGAAAACGTCGTTTGTCAAATTTCGTTCCAGAGGATAATTTTTTAAATAAATCAAAAGCGTCCATTGTTTATTAATGGATTGATAACTGGATAACTATCATAAATCATAAACTATTGACACGTGTTCGATTCTTTTCAAACGAAAAATGAATTTGTACACGCGTGCTGTATAGTGTAGTTTTCGAACTGAATATATATAATATGCGCGTGTATAATAAAAGTGTATAAATATATGTTGTTTTGGCGCTTTGGTAGGGTTAGTTATATAGACTTCTCGATGGCAGCGTGACCGAGACAGGACCACCACTCTGGAAGGTACATACTCACCACGTGTCATAACAATTTTACGTTAAAAACCTGCATCAAGCGCTTCAGTGAATTAACATTTATATAAACAGTTACATATTATAGTTATTAAAAAAAAGTTATTCTTATAGGTTATAGAAACATCGCATTTTCATAAATTTTCAATTAACTATTGAATAATCATTTTATTACAATTAATAAAAGATTTATTAATTTTTGAGCTATAAAATTGATTATCATAAATTTTTTTAGTGAATTGAAAGTGTAAAAAGTGTAAAAAGTAAGGATATCTTTATGCGCACGCACGTTATTTTAAATTTTATGACCAACTTCGCGCCAAACATTTCAGTCATCTTTCAGTGTTTGTTATTTAACCTCAACTTTAAGCTCTATTTATCATCTCAAGGCTTCTAAATTATGCTAAAGTTATTTAGTTGAATGAATTAACAAAAATACGGATTTTAAATGATTATTTATTAAAAAGTAATTTACCAAAGAAGATAAAAAATTGGTTATTTAATTTGAAGATAATTGTGATGAGTGTGTAAGGCGTGTTTATTAATTTTTTTTCCTTTTTTTTTTTTGACAGATTTAATTAAAAGATCAACATAATAAATAGACAATGGATTCGTACGTGAGTTGTATAAAAGTTCGAGGGACACGGATCCTTCCACCTGTTGTAAGTTCAATTTGCAATTAATTTTCTTTAACAATTTATAGAGTAAAATTAAAAATAATAATTATTTTGGTGATTATTAAATTGCATGTTTAACAGATGACAGATGAATTGAGAGCAGAGATGAATTATTACAAGCAGCTAGCTTTAGAAGTTGAAGAAAGATTATCAAGACTTGAAACTATCAGCACTGAGGAAGTTGAAGAAGAAGTAGAAAATTCATTCGAAGAAGATAAGCCACCAGATTCTAAAACTTTTAATTTTTATCAGCAAGAAAGTGTTACAAGCTTTACTGGTGATAGTCCAGAAGAATCCAAGACAGAGATTAATAAAATAAGCTGTGAGCAAGTAAATGATAAATGGAAAGGCCGTTCTGACGATGAGACAATAACTAACAGCACGGATATTAATAAGTACATAAATACATCGGGTTCTTCCAAAACAGACGCATCAGAAGTAGGAAAACCTTGTGTACCCAAAACTTTAGACATTATTCCTATTACAGTAGACCATAGAAATTTAATTGAAAGAAAAGCTTCATCTGACGTTGAAGAAGCTGACACTGAAGTTCCTAAATTAGTTAGACAAGGTTCCTATACACTGGAGTCACCAAGCCCAATGCTATTAGCTCACTTCCAGCAACCGGAAAATGATTACGTTCCTACTTCGACGGCTAACGGTGTTAAGCCGAGAGAATGGAGCGTTAATTATTGTAAAGTAGAGTGGACGCTTAAAGATAAACAAGGAATTGGTGTAAAAAATAATAATAATAATAATAATAATAATAATAATAATAATAATAATAATGAAGTTGATTTGATTGATAGACGAAATAGTATCTCTGATGTCAATAATAAAAAGGATTATAAATTAATTGGAGAAAAGACTGATAAACAATCAAACAGCTTAAATCACGCTGCTAAATCTGTTGATTGTATTCAATCGATGTTAACGAAAGAAAATTCTTCCAGCACTTCCAATCATCAAAGTAACATTCCTGTTGTCAGATCCAAGTCGAGTAATGCTGTTAAAAATTATTTAAATAATAATTTTAAAAATAGTAAAGATATTTGCAGTGTTGCTAAAATTTACGGTGCTCAGAAAGCGTTTAGTAATGGAAATTCACCGACTAGTAAGAAAAAATATACTGACAATAAAATGACTCGGAGCTTTGAAGGTTCAAGCACTGACCAATATGATAGCCGTCCTGTTGATAAATCTAAACCGGTTGTTACATCGGAAAAATTACTTCAAGTGTTCAAAGAAATCCAAAAGACTCATCACCACCAAATGGCTCATCTTATCGCTCGGCAACAAAAGGAGCAAATAATTATGCAGCAGGAATTTGAAAAGCAGCAATTGATGCTTCTTGAGCAGCTGGAAAAAACCTGCCCGGGTATTTCTCTCCCGGCGATTATTAAGAAGATTACTACTCCAGTGGATAAATTAAAAAGATATAATTCTCCACGAGACTCTGTATCCTTGCCAAAGGATCAGAATCGGTCTGATACTGAGAGTAGTCCTTTAAATGGCAGCTCTTTTGGGTCTGAGGGAAGCTTGTCAATTCATTTTACGTCTCATGATGCTTCTTTGTCGGAAAGTAAAACTAATCGTGAAAGAAGAAGATCCAGTGTTAGTCGACAATTATTTCCATTAGAATGTAAATCTACTCATGTTCCTATTACTAATGGAGCTGTTTATGATGATCGTCATGTAAGTTCTCAATAAATAAAAATATATAATTGTTATTTTTAATGTTTTACTTTTTTTTCTTTTTTCTTTTAGGTAAAATCTGCCACTATTATTAATGCTTATGTACGTGGTTACTTAACAAGGAGATTAATGAAGACTGAGAGAGTTATGACTTTAAAAAATACGTATAGAGAAGCATTGCATTGTATGTTGAAATTACATGTTGACGCTCCTTGGGAGTTGGCTGAATTAAATTTCCACAAACGTTTACAACATCAGGTTAAATTTTTTATTTTTATAACGAATCAATTGAATTAAAAAAAAAAATGCTTATAAAAAATTTCACACATGTGGAATATTTTTATTTAATTTTTCTAAATAATTTCATTGATATAAAATTATTTGAAGAATTTTTTGGACTACTTTTTGACTGATCTCTTAAAATAAAATACATTATTAATTTGTTTGTTAATTAATATTAATTTTTCGCAGTGCGATGCAGCATCCATGAGTATCGTCGAATTATTTTCTCAAAGTCCATCGAAAAGAATGACTATAATATCACAAGATCGACAAGTAAAGCAAGCACGTCAACAACGACCAACTTCTGCTAAATCTTCGTATTCTTTTGCAACACAACGAACCTTAGCAAGAAAAAAATTTAAAGAGTACGGTTCAAAATAATTTGTTATCTGTAAAATTAAAGTTGTAGATATTTTTAAGATTTATTTTTCTTATTTTTTTTTTATTAATATTTAAAAATAAAAAAAAAAAAACAAGTAATTGTTTTTTTAGAATGGGAATAATAACAATGCCAGAACCAGCATCGAGAAATCGTGAACCCTGTACTGCAAGAACGAGATGTCAAACATGGACATCTAATTCAAGAGAAAAACGTTCTCCAGGATTAATAAGTAAAAAATTTTTTTTTTTAATTATAAAATTTATAATTTTATAAAAAGTTAAAAATTATAATTTTATGAAAAAAAAAAAATTAATTTCAGATCAAGGCATTAAACGTAGTACGAGTGCTGGTGCCGTCCGTAAACCTTGGCGATAATAACATCAGGTGGCTTAGTCTTATCTCAGCGAATAACTAAGTCACTTAATTAATTCCAGTACAAAATTTGATACCATCATCAATTGTTACTATCACCGTAGTGCCTGTTAACATTACATTAAAAAAAAAATCAGAGACGAAATTTTGACGTCTCTTCGCAATTCTAATTTAAGCTTTTTATAGCCTGGAGCTATTTAGTTATAACGCAACTATTTATTTACTTTATTCTTACTTTTTTTACTAACATAATAATTATCAATTTAATTAAAATAATTCCTGTGATAATTATTATTTATAAACATATTCATTAATTTTTATTTTTTTTACTTAACAATTTTAGTAATTTAATTATTAAAATCAAATTGTTCTTCATTTGAAATATAATGACTGTAATTACATTGAAAGATTTATTTGAATTAAAAAGTGATTCAAATGTTAGTTAGTGTACTGCTGAATACAATAAACAAAAGCTTTCATTATCAAAATCAAAGATTAATGAACTTTAATTACTATTCGATAAATTTATTTATATCTCTACTCACTTATAAGTACTTGTGTAAATATTTATTTATATAGTATATATATATATATTACAGCGCAGTACAGAAGCCGGTAAAGTGGATAAAAAGCAACAAAATGAATAAGTACGGGCGAAGAGTTGTAGTTACAGGTTTAGGGGTCGTCAGTCCTTTAGGAGTAGGTGTAAAAAGTTCTTGGAATGCTTTATTGGCTGGAAAAAGTGGAATTGTTAAATTAAATACTCCAGAATATGAAACAATACCATGCCGAGTCGGTAATATAACCTATCTATTAATTTAAAATAATAAAAAAATTAATTTAAATAAATGATTTTTAATTTATTTGTCACTTGACAATTTTTTAATAAACAAATTTATTCCAAAAAATTATTTTTAATTTTTCTAAATTCTTACATGTCAATTTTTTTGTTGTCATGATTTATTTGTCACCAAAATTATCAAATTCCTGCTAAATTAATTTTAATTTAAAATAAATCATACTGAAGTTAGCTGACTGACAGCTGTCAATTTTTTAATTTTTTTAAATAAATCAATTCCAATAAAAGAATACTTTTAAAAATTTCCACTAACAATTTTTTTTTTTGACACATGGAATTTTTTTATTAAATTTTTTTGATAATAATTGCTAAAATTTCATTGTTTTGTTATTTTTATTAAACAGCTGGACAAATACCAAAAGGCAATGCCCCGGGTTCATTAAATTTAGATGAAAAATTTTCTAAAAGTGAATTAAGATCCATGTGCCCGGCAACAGCTTACGCATTGATAGCAGCTGAAGAAGCCCTTGAAGATGCCAAATGGAAACCCGACGAAGAAACACACAAAAGAGACACTGGAGTTGCTGTAGGAATTGGAATGGTTGATTTAGTTGATGTTTGTTCAATGTACGAAGCTATGAAAAAGAGTTACAGTAAAGTTAGCCCTTATTTCATACCTAGAATCTTGCCAAACATGGCAGCGGGGCAAATTAGTATTAAATATGGATTCAGAGGTCCTAATCATTCTGTTTCTACTGCATGTGCTACGGGTGCTCATGCTATTGGTGAGTATCCAATGAAATTATCAAAAAATAGGCGTAGAAATTTTTTTTCAAGTTTTTTATAATTTTTTCAATAAAAAAAAAAAAAACTAACTATTTTTCAGGTGATGCTTTTCGTTTTGTAAAAGGTGGAGAAACAAGTGTGATGGTCTGTGGAGCCGCTGAAGCTTGTATCAGTCCTTTAGCAATAGCTGCTTTTTGCCGACTACGAGCTCTTAGTACATCTAAAAACGATCGTCCTGAAGAAGCTTCAAGACCATTTGACAAAGATCGTGATGGCTTTGTAATGGGTGAAGGAGCAGCTATATTAATCATAGAAGAGCTAGAACATGCGCTAGCAAGAAACGTTAACATTTACGCAGAAATATTAGGCTACGGGCTATCAGGAGATGCTGCTCACTTAACAGCACCAAGTGAAGATGGAGTAGGTGCTATTTTAGCCATGGACCGAGCTTGCAAAAATGCACAAGTTGATCTTAATGACATAACTTATGTCAATGCTCATGCTACTTCTACTCCTATTGGAGATGCCGTTGAACTCAAAGCTATTGAAACTCTGTTTGGAGCTTACAGTAAAAATGTCACGGTGTCAAGCACTAAGGGAGCACATGGACATTTATTAGGAGCTGCTGGAAATCTTGAGATTGCTTTTACTATTCTTGCTATTAAAAATTCTGTTATTCCTCCTACGCTAAATTTACATAATTTAGATTATTCGGGTCCCCTGCAATTTGTTCCACATGTTAAAAAAAATTGGAGCTCTGTGTCCAAGAGAACTGCATTGAAAAATGCATTTGGATTCGGTGGTACCAATGCTTCCTTGTGTTTTACAGAGTTTGTTAGATAGTATTTGTTGGAAAATTTCTTTTTAACAAATTAATTATTTTTTTATAATAAATAATGTTTTAAAAATTAAAAACTTTACCAAAGGTAGACTGGAATGTACTTTATTAAATCATCAGTAATTGGCCATTATTCGTTTTTTAATTTACTTCATACTTGATCTTTTTATTATACAATTATTCATATATAAATGAAAATATTATTATATTTTTTTACTCTTTTGGCAGTAGAAACATTTAACAGCACTGCCTCGTTTATTTATAAGTAAAAAAAAAAGATTATAAATCGTTCCAAAAAAGTTAAAATTAAAAATTACAATAATTGAATAAAAAGAAATTTTTATTAAAATCCACACCTATCTAATTTTTAATAAAATTTTAATTAAGCATGCTCAACGAATATCTCGCTCGTCATCTTATTATTTTGTCTCAAATTAATGTCAATGTACCAAAAAAAAAAAAAAAAAAAAAAAAAAAAATAAATAAATAAAAAAAGAAGTTAAATTAAAAAAAAAAGTAATGTCCAAAAAAATATTGAATACTCAGTGCGGAATGCCAAAATTTTTATAATGACTGCACAACATTGCAAAACGGTGTCGTAAATTTTTTCGAAGTTCCAATCGTTTTTCAGACACTTGACACATACGAGCTTTAAACGCTTGCACTTCTTCTGCGGGAATATAACTTTCAGTGCCTTCATTATCTGATGAATGTGAGTCCTATTGATAAAAATAAATTATTGTAAGTAAGGTAAAAGGTCCAATTATTGACACTTGCAATTTAATTCTAATTAAATTTAAAATAATCTAAAATAAAATTGCAAGCGTCAATAATTAGGCTAATAATTAAATATTTATAATTAATGTAAGATAAAAAATAAATTATTACCTCTAACATTTGAGTAAGAGTTAATCCTTGTTCTCCTAATAATGAAACACCCAGTCTGGAATGATCCAGTTTGTCCCAAGGTCTATTATCAGGGCAGTCTCCATCGTGGCTACAACAGCCCTCGCTACACGCGACCTCAGACCCTTCTGGTGTGCTTGGCAGAGATGAGCTACTAACGTTATGCTCAGACGAATAACCGCAGTCTTGAGATGGCTCACTTGATGCACGGCTCATAATCTCTCGTAACTTGAGTTCGTAACGTTTGTTAAAGTCTACCCATTTCAATAACTCTTCTTCTGGAGGAGTTTTTCCACCTTGACGTAAATGCCATTTTCCATCATCACGTTTTTCAAAAAATTCCTCGTAACATGAACACATATCATGTGGATCTTCTTCACAGAATTTACCTGGGTTTTCATCTTTTTCTTTTTCTTTAGTTATTACATCTTTAATTTGTTCCACCTTTGGCTGATTTAACTTTCGTGATGAATTTTTACTTCGGAATGTTGAAGATTGGCTTTGAGTTTGTTTTATATTGTCACTATTTTTAGTTTTTTTTAGGCAATCAGGACATTTACACGTAGGTTGCCCTTTATTCTTTGGATCCAAAATTTGAAGCTAAAATTTTATTTTATTTATTATCAAAAAATAAGCTTCAATATAAATAACAATAAAAACAAAAAAAAAAAAAAAAAAAAAAATTCACCTTGTGGCGATCATTATTTTGAGTCGTTGGTTTAGATTCTGTACAAATGCAATCATTTCCTTTACCTTTTTCTTTCAAACACTAAAATATAACAAATATTATTTAATTAACGATACTTATATCACTAAAAAAATAATTTTTATTAATTTAAAACTTACTTCACAATTATTTTCTTTTTCTTCAGTATTTTCATATTTGCGTTCCTTCTTTTTCTTCCTTTTAAGGCGTAATTTCTCTCGACGTTGCTGCTTTACTAATTCTTCTCGAGTAAGTTCCTCATATAGAAGCTCTAGTTGAGAAATTCCCTGTTTTTCTTCAACAGCCATTTGAAAATTACGTGACAGTGCGTCAATAGCAACAGCAGCAAATACACGGCAAATTGTTTCTTCTTCTTTCAAGCGCCGATGAATACGATGAAGTCTGTTAGCAACGCAAATTCCAAGACAAGTAAGTACTTCTTCTTGGGCAATTTCTAATGTTTTAGCATGACGCTCTCTAAAAAAAATCATTCAATTTTTTATCTTAATAAAAATTTAATTTAATTTAATATTTAAATTTAATCTATATTATTGAATCTGTAGAAATGACCTTGTATCTTGTGAACTATTGACATTTTTAAAGATATAAGCTCATCCCGACACTACACTCATCGAGACCTTTCATTTAAGTACCCACATCAATTTTTCATATATTTCATATATATTATTATTATATATATATATATATATATATATATATATGTATATATGAAAAATATATCAAAAATGCATGTGGGTACTCAAATGAAAGCTCTTGATGAGTGTAATATCGGGATGAGCTTATATATCTTTAAAAAGGTCAATATTTAAGAAAGTGCAGTGCAATTTAACACATAGTGACTGCAAGGTTGTTATATTTAATTTAAATATTAAATTTATTAATTAAAAAATAAAAATTCTTACCGGCCCATTACTTCTGGCTGCGCACGTCCAATTAAGTCAGTAATGTACTCCGTATTAGTAGATAAATGAACATGATTGTCAGGAGTACAACGTTTAATATCTTTGTATAATGCAGCTACATATCCTTTTTCCTTCGAAGGATTGGGTTCCGAGGTAAGAAGAGTCGAAGCTAACAAAACTTTTGTACGACATTCCCCACAAAACCTATGTTTCCGTAAATAGGTTTCTAAAGTAGCTTCCAGAGTATCTGTTTCAATCAGAGTTACTTCTTGACGGCAAGGAGATTTCATTACATCCCATGCTTCTTTCCATGCATTTGCTGGGGGTCTCATACGTTGAATATCCATCGAATGCAAAGCACAACGAAGTGATTTTTTATTTCGTGGTTGGCGTTCTACTAAATTGTGTAATCGATCACTAGAAATAAATTACTCATCAAAATTAGATATTTTTATTTTTTAGACAATAGAACCTATTGATTCTAATGCGGAGCTCTAAGTTCTTGGAATTAGAAGTAATAGCAATCAATCTCTCCCCTCCCCATTCTCTAAGTTGAATTTATATGAACTATTTTTTTTTAATTTTATTTATCTATAAATTCTTATAATAAAGCAATGCTAATTTATATAAGAAGAGTTTAATCTACGAGTTATAATCATTTCAGTTACTCAGCGTATCCACTTACAGTGATATTGTTATCATTCAATTAAATTACATACATTAAAGTCTATTTATAAGCAAAGTGAACTATATTTAAATATTTAAATTAAAAAAAATAGTAAGATAAAAATTTAAAAAAAAAATTAAATGAATTATTTAAATCTTAAAAACAAAAAAAAATGTTATTCATTTTATTTTAAAAATAAAAAAATTTTTTGTAAATTACTGAACTTTGTACCGATAAATTTTTGTAAATAATAAAATTATATTTACTTAATAATTAATAATAATAATAATAATAATTATTATTACTTAATAATTAATTCTAAATTTTTCTTATTATAATTTAAATATAAATAATTACCTATGACCTTGAAGCATAGTACAAAGCAATCTTGGAGATAGTAAACTTTCTTCAGAGATAGTCAAAATTCCTTCTGGAGTTACGATCAACGGATCCAGCGCTTGATGACCTGATCCCATTAATTCGAAAAATAATCTTTCAACACTAAAAAAAATTTATATAGATATTAAAAAATATCAGTTTGATAAAAAAAAAATCATTGATTTTCTTAGCGGGAAGTTAAAAAAAAAAAATGGCATTTAACTTAGCAGTTCTCACTTCACCATTTTAAAATTATTTTTGACAAAGAAATTTGTTATAAAAAATTCTAAAATTTAAAAATATCTGCTAAATTAAATGACATAAAAAAAAAATAAATATTGTTGTCAATTATTCAGCAAACCTTCTTCGGCAACCAACACAGGGCACAGTCTGGCTCAAAATAGATAACATATCCTTATGGGTAACCTTAAATGAAGCCTTGACTTCTTCTTTAGTTAACATTTCTAATTTTCTCTTAAATTCTTCAAGTTGTTTTCCTTTAGCCAACGGACTCTCATTGATGTACCCTAGGTTGTTTAAGTCCATGATCATCTGAAACAATAAATATTCATTGTTACCTTTAAACTTAACTAAATAATATTGTAATCAATAATAATTGACCAACAAAAATTATATATTAGTTAATTTTTTTAAATAAGAAGAAACATTTAGAATAAAATTAAATTTATTGAAGAATTAATTTTATTAAAATTAGCATTTAATATCTTTGAATAGAAATAAAAAAATATTGTTCAAAAATTAAAATGAAAATCTAATGATTTAAAATTGGAGTTTTAATTTTTTACGCCATTATGGGTTAGATAAATCTGTCAGGTTATGTCGTTTATAATAATTAATTTTTATACGAATTTAAAAATATTTTATAGATTATAATAAATCGTAAAAATTGTAATGGAATTAAAATACTTACAGTTAAAGTTTCGTCAACAATCAAGGGCATTTGTCGTTGCGTCAAATTAACCGGTTGGTCACACCGCCATATATCCACAAGTTTTGCCATTATAAACAAATAATTAGTTATTTAATTATATTATTTATAAATAACTGTACAACAATGCTGATTAAAGTGAGAGGCAGTTGATTTATTGTTGATAATGTTTGATTATTTGTTAACGTTATGTCACAATAAAAAATAACAAAAAAACAAATAGAACACGTATCACTCGTCTGCCATTTGCAATATAAAAAAATAAGTCTTACTAAGAACTAAAAACGATGATGTCGATAGACGCGCCTTAACCGAAAAATTTACGGTATTATTTTAAATTAACAATTGTTCATGAATAATAAAACTACGAGCTTATCATTTATCAACAATTGCTCACTATTTATTGATACAATCAAACACTCTGGTGTTTTTATTTGTACTGTTGAAATAAAATTATATATTGTGTGTTATTGAAACAAATTTTTTAAATAATTAGAATTGTTGCTATGGAATTCAAAAAATTCAAAAAAATATTAGAGTGAAGTTAGCTGACAGCTGTCAATTTTTTTTTATTTTATAACAAATCAATAACAATTAAAAAAATGTTTCAATAATTTATACTCTTTATTTTTAATTTAAAAAATTTAATTTTGTTTATTATAATTTAATTGTTAGAAATGATAAAAAAATTTCTAATGTTTGTCTACTTTAGTGTCATAAAAAAATATGTTTAATAATTTTGAAAAAATTTATATTTTATTAAAGAAAATTAGTAAAAGTAAAAAATTATTCAATATCTGCAAAATTATTTTTCATATTTTTTTTTATTGAAAAAAAAAAAAAAATATACAGTGAATTAAATTAAAACTTTCCTTGATTGGACTAAATAAAAGATTAATACATCTGCTGCTAATATAGTAATTTATTTTAAAGCAATAAATTTACAGGATAAAATTCATACTTGTACTCCAAAAAAAAAAAAAAAAAAAGATAAATTACAACACAATGCAAAATGTACAATCCTACAAAATTCAACGTATTTTTAAATTATAAGACTCAGAAGCTCCTAAAAAAAATTACCTTTAACAATTGTCATCTTTAAATAAATCCTAATTTTAAGAAATGCATGATTCACAGTGAAAGTAAATAATTATATTTGAGTAGTTATTGGGTTTACAGGATATTTACGAATAATTTTATGTTCATAGGGCATAAGAAATATTGTTATTATCATTTCTCATAAATCTTATTTTTTATTGGCGAATAAACGAATTATCGTTGGACTGGAGGTCCCATGCCCATTCCAGGGCCCATATGCATTGCAGCACTCGGTCCCAGAAGTGCTTGTTTCTGCTGTGAGCGTTGCATCTCCTCCATTTGGGCTCTTTCAATTTCGATTATTATTGGAGCAAATATAATTGCTGAAGTGCTGAACATTATCCACGTTGCGGAGCAAGAAAACTTGTAGAGTGCTGGAATATTAAAGATTGTTGACTTAAAAAAAATTTAGTTACTCTTTATTATTAAAAATTATTGCATAACAATAGCAATAGATTCTATCAATATTTAAGAAATTATTTGATGTTAATCATCATTTTTAATTTTTCTTTTTTGATATAAATTATTTGTTAAAAAAAATTCTAAAAATTATCAAGTACTTGCTAAATTAATCTTTTTTTTATTGAAATAAATGGTTAATTATTAAATTATCATACCTTTGAGACGAGATGTTAAACAAGATCCTAAATTATACCCGAAATTACGAATTTCTTCTGGAAACATTTCTGTCAACCCAATAAGTCTTTCCGTAAGACTTTCATCCTGTAATAATAAAAAAAAAATATAATATTAATTAATGTTTTAAAAAATTAATTCCAGCATGCAATAATATTAGTAAGGTTAATTATAATAATTCTCAAAATACTATAAAAATTAAAAACATGCCAATTGTAATAAAAATTTTTAAATTACAATCAAAATAATAAAATTTATTTAGATATAAATATAAATTTAAAATGTAAAAAAATAATTTATAAAATTACATCTTCCTCCTCTTCATCAGGCAGGATGGATTTAACTTCTGGAGAACGAATATCACTGCTACCCATTCCGCTGTCAGTGAGATCAAGCTCTTCGATAGTCGCCATATAAAAAAAGTTACTAATTAATGTATTTGTTTAATTAAACTGATAATAGTGGACTGAGATTATTCACTGAAAGTATTTTAATTTTAATTCTATAAAAAAATAATTGATTCTCACACGCGTGGAGAGAGAACAGAAACCATTATCCTCGGACTTTAAGTTTTCTTAACCTCAGCTAGACTGAGCTGAGTGTTACTTTTAGCGGCAGTATTTAAATTTATTTAGTTGGTGTGCTTACCTCAATTTTTTAATAATTGTTTAAATATTAATAAAAAAATTATTTATTGCTGTAAATGGCAATTATTAAATTGTTCATTACAAATGACATTTACGATTGTCAATTTATTAGTAAACAAATTTTTTTATCAAAAAAAAAAAATTTTTTATTGAAAAAAATGATCAAAATAATTTGACATAAAAATTTGACATGTAGAAAATTTGAAAAATTTTTTTTTGCATTATTTTATTATTATAAGAATATTTTATAAAAAATTATTCTAAAATTTTTCGATATTTCCCTTGAATCCAAACACGATACATTTTCAATTGTTTACCGCGATTAACTTGTAATCGTCTATCAACAATATTTTGTTCCTCTTTGAAATTACATCCTTCAAATAAGCCCTTGAGATTTTCTTGAGTAAAAAAATAAACCTGTGTACCATCCCCTCTAGCATAAAAATTGTCTCCAAGACATTGGCCTTTTTTGAATCTCAGTTGAGCTAAGTCGTATCTTCCATAATCTCTAAAAAGAACTAGACCTCCGGGTTTTAAATACCGATAAATTTGTTTGACTACATGAATTTGCCTAGAAAAAAAATAAATATAATACTAGTCATATTTTATATTATGTATCCATAAGCAGCTATACATACTTATCTGGTTTAATTGCAGAAAGGACAAATATTAACAAGACAATATCTAAACTATTGGGTTCAAAAGGCACATCCCAGTCATCTTGACTAATATCCAATACAAATGCTTTACAACGTGATTCATCATACTCTTTATGTGTTTTTAATATGTCAATAGCAACAGAGGAAAAATCACAGCCGTACAAATAAACTTTTGGATTTGAATTATAAGCAAGAATTGGAAAAATAGTATTCCCAACTCCACAACCAATTTCTAATATTCTTTGTTCAGTCAATGAATTTTCTTCCAACTCTTTTTGATCCTTAGTTTCTTTTTTCTGTTCTAGTTCAACCTTCTCAGGCACACTGAGATCATCTTTTACTTTGTACGGAGCTAATTCAGGAAATTCAGTGAATAACCAATGTCTATCTTTGAAAAATCTGTTCTGATGAATTCCATAAAATTTGTCCCAATTTTTACTTGCCTCTATTTCATACAGTTCAAGTTCTTTTTCGGAAGCTGTAATTTCTGAATTTTGTGCTACCTTTTGCTGTGCTAATTTTTGTTGCTCATCATCCCATTCAACGTTGTCCCTAAAGAAAAAAAAAATTTAATATATTTTGTTAAATTTTCTTAGCAATAACCAAAACTAAAAATAAAAAAACGTGTATTACTTAATAAATTTATAGAATGATTTTATAAAAATTAATACCATGCATTATGTTGAAATACATTATCTTCTTTTTTTAGTACTCTATTTCCAAATTGCGGGCGTGATTGTTTATTATTTTCACTCTCTGCCATTTTAATTTATAAATAATTAAAATATGGACTCCAAAGTACGTATCTGATGCACGTGCTTCTGTGACTTTATCAACTCTGTTCGGATTTGTCGGTAACTGAAAATATTATCTGTTAGTTTGGACATGAACCAATTCGTACCGGCAAGTTTTTTTTCAATAAAAAAAAAAATTGATTTTTTTTTTTATCAATTACAACTTTACAAAAAAATTAAAAAAAAATCAGAATTTAAAAATGTTTTTTAAAACTCATTCAAATCTTATTAAATTTTTTTAGACATAAATTATGCAATTAAACAGTTATTGAAGGATATGAGAGATAGTACCCTCTTCCATTTATACCTCTAGATGCCCACATATATAGTTCCCAGGGGAACAATCGATAAACTTATATCTTCTTCGTCTATCTTCTCTCTCTCACTACACCTTGGCTCAATCTCTCTTTTTGTACTTTGTATGTCTGTACTATCTATAATATCTGTCTTGTACCTTACCCTTATTAAACAAAATTATTTTACACGTTAAAAGCCTATAAGAAATAGTATTTAAAATAATTTGAAGGATTATCAAGTATTTAAAATTATTAAAAATCAATTTAAAGATAAAGATTGATTTTTAATAATTTTTTTAACTTAATTATTAAATGTTTTTTTTTTTTTTTTTTTTAAATCATATAAAAAAAATTATTAATTAAATTATAAAAAAATGATGTAGAGATATTTTTGATTAAATAGAATAATTTTTCAGAGGAAAAAGATAAACATTTATAAAAGGGCGAAAATGGGAGAGTTACGCGTTATTGAACGGGCTATAATATTTCTACAAAGCGCAAACGAGAGCAACCACCCCGAAGAGTAGTAGAAACAGAGAAACATGAGTACAGGATAAAATTTTCTGTATATTTTACATATAGCTCAATCTTCTCCAGCAATCTCGCGTCAATAAACTCGAATGTATTTAGATAATTAATAGATAAAATAAAAATGATTAATTTAAGTTAATTATTTGAAGAACTCCGGTAAATAATAATGGTAATGAAAAAATTGGGGAAAAAAAAAGAATAAAAATAAGTTTTTCTTTGTTCCAATTGAATCCCTAACGTCCTCTCTCGTCCTAGACAACCTCGCGGGATTTTTTCTGTCTGGCAGAGAGGGAAGATCGTCTCCGAGGGTGAAGAAGGCCCGCCCCGTCTGCTGTGTTTGCCCGATGTATACGATTAAAATGGGAAAGACATAGTGAGTGAAAGAGAGGAAAGATACGAGACGTAGGAACCTGACGTCGACGATGCTGAAATGGGATTGGATGTAGCATGGTGGTGTTAGTAGAATGGATGGTGGTGGTCGACTGGGGTAGTTCACCCTCGCGCAGGAACGCGAGGGTCCAAAGATCGTTCGGTCGATGACCCCAAAGTTCAGAATTCACAGCTTTCTTTTTTATCATACATATCCACTAATATTTTTTCTCCCACACCGATTTTCCTCTTTTAATTTCATATACATTACAATAGTTACTTTTTCACCGTCTGCAACAAAATATATTTAACATTTAATTTATTTTTAATCTGAAAGTGTAATTAAAATATTAATTAGTATGCGAGTAGAGCAGCTCTTTCACTAAATAAATATATACATCATACGTATTGTATAAATTCTCTTAATTAAAGAAGAGATATATAATTAATGTAGATATAGATGGTTAATAACGGATAAAATAAGAAGAAAAATTTACATACAGGCACAAGATTATTAAAGAGAATATTTTTAACTGATAATTTTTTTTAATGTGATAATAAATAAAAAATTTGAAGAAATAAAAATAATCTATAGTTTTTTTAAATAAATTTATAGATTTATTTTGGTAACTAAATAAATTTTTTTTCGCATTTAGTTTAAAATATTCCTACTAAGTAGACTTAAACAGCTTAAAGTATATCCATATGCTTAGCTATTAATACTACATAGATTTAGTTTATAATAAATTTACGAAAATATCGATCATCAATGACATCTGATGACGTACATTCTGTACCTATAACTAAACGCTACAACCAAGAATTCGTTAAATACATTATAAAAAAAAATATGTATCGATTAAAAGAGTGTTACATTTATTTGGCTTCTCTATGCGAGATTAAATTTTAGTTGTACTGATTGTGAAGTATAAAAATGAAGATAAAAAAGTAGTTATGTCATGTAAGTATTTTATAATTTTCAGATACATACAGATACAGATTAAATTTGCAGCGAGAGAACTAGAAAACCAGAGAGAGAGAGAGAGAGAGAGAGAGAGAGAGAGAGAGAGAGAGAGAGAGAGAGAGAGAGAGAGAGAGAGAGAGAGAGAGAGAGAGAGAGAGAGAGAGAGAGAGAGAGAGAGAGAGAGAGAGAGAGAGAGAGAGAGAGAGAGAGAGAGAGAGAGAGAGAGAGAGAGAGAGAGAGAGAGAGAGAGAGAGAGAGAGAGAGAGAGAGAGAGAGAGAGAGAGAGAGAGAGAGAGAGAGAGAGAGAGAGAGAGAGAGAGAGAGAGAGAGAGAGAGAGAGAGAGAGAGAGAGAGAGAGAGAGAGAGAGAGAGAGAGAGAGAGAGAGAGAGAGAGAGAGAGAGAGAGAGAGAGAGAGAGAGAGAGAGAGAGAGAGAGAGAGAGAGAGAGAGAGAGAGAGAGAGAGAGAGAGAGAGAGAGAGAGAGAGAGAGAGAGAGAGAGAGAGAGAGAGAGAGAGAGAGAGAGAGAGAGAGAGAGAGAGAGAGAGAGAGAGAGAGAGAGAGAGAGAGAGAGAGAGAGAGAGAGAGAGAGAGAGAGAGAGAGAGAGAGAGAGAGAGAGAGAGAGAGAGAGAGAGAGAGAGAGAGAGAGAGAGAGAGAGAGAGAGAGAGAGAGAGAGAGAGAGAGACATGTCTAAATTCTATTTATAGATAAACAGTTTACTAACCGGTAAGTAATTGACCGACCAGCCTTGACTTAACGTTGACCTAGCCGCAATACAAACTCTGCATTACAATGTTTTATCAAAAATATCTCTAAAAAATTTTTCATCTATCTTTGTATAAAAAATATGTAGAGAAACTATGTTTAGTCTAAAAAGCAGATCAGCTTCAATAAATATAATTGGTTCTCAAGGACAAAGAGAGTCTAGTATATCATTTCGTCTAGACTGAATGCAGTGACTCTTTTTTTCCCAATATAAGTTGATACTAAAAAAGAGAATGATGATGTAATGTAATATAAGCGACAAATTGATTACCGAGGACAAACTTGAAGGTGATGAACGTATGCTGGGAGAAGGAGTGTATAAAGAGGCCAACGGCCTTGACCTTGTCCGTGAGTAACGTGTCGTGTCGAAGAGTTTAAGGAATAAGAATACGAGGACGTAGAGGAGGAGAATCACAAGCTTGAGCAGGATGGGCGAGTAATTTAGAAAAGACCTGCAGTTTTTAAATCAATAACCATCATTAAATTTATTTATTTTTACTTTTTTACTACATTTCACTCACCTCCATTCATCACATCGAGACGTTTAAGCCTGCGTAACTATTCCTAGTTAAAAAAAACAAGATCGATACGTGACAGAGAATTTTGTAAATTTTTTCATGGCATACAATGACGCTGCTGGAAAAAGAACAGATCAAAAGTACAGAATATATCATCAGTATTATTTTGCGGGGGTGAGTTATCTCTTGTCCCCTCTTTATTAACATCAGCTTACCAACATTCGTCATTGTTATTATTATTATTATTATTATTATTATTATTATTTATTTATTAATCATAACCAGCGCGGCGCTGCAGTCGTCATTGCCAACCTTTAAATATAAAATTTATTATCAGAGTAATTTGAGATCTATTTTATCTCACTCAAACTTACAGCGTTAGCATAATAATATCTTCCTTCATTGAACTATTTAGGTATGTACATACAGCGGAGAGGAGTGACGGGCGCGGTCATCGTTCGACGGGTATTTCATCACACTGAAGTCAGCTGACATTACAAAATTTTTTTGTTATTTTATTGCAATGAATTTGTTATAAAAAAATGTAATAAAAAAATTATAAATGTGAAAAATTATTAGTGGAATTTTTTTAAAGCATATTTTTAATTGTAATTAATTTATTGTAATATTTAAAAAATTGACAGCTGTCAGCCAACTTCAGTATCATTGTATTTTCAATGCAGCGTAAGCTTTTGGTATTGGTTGGTTTGGTGAAGCCACTTACCAGTGGCGCCGCCGCGCGGTCATTACAAAGAGTTTGGCTAAAGATGGGCGCATCTCGCCGGGCAGTAGCTTAGACTCTACCTACAAGACAACATCACACCACCCAATGTTTCCCAATTATTCGCAAATTTAAAGGGTGATATAGTTTTGTCGCACATTATTTAATAAGCTAGCGTGTGTGCTGTGTGAGTGTGTGTGTGTGAGTGTAAATGTAAGACGTGATATTTAAAAAGTGATAGAATGATCATAATTGATTGTTAAGCAAACGGATAAGTCTTGCAAGCCGGGCTCCAAACGCACGGCTACGTAGAGTCGCTCAGTGAATAAAATATTAAGGGAAATTAATTTTTTATTTTATAAAGTATCATTATTATTATCATCATTGTTGTTCACCATTACTCGGCGGTTTGTCGATAATTAAAGAAAGTGGTTGAGGTTTTTTTATTTATTAAGTTGATTAATATAAGATTTGTTGAGACTTTTTTGTTTTTTTTTATACTTTTTAATTTAGAAATATAAATTTTCTATACGAACTGGATTGGCGTACATACGCGCAAGGTAGAGGAACACGAAGCAGAAACGAGCAAGAGAATTTAGTTGAGAAGTTGGCGGAGGAGGAACACGGAACGACCAACGACACCGTGGTGAGCGCGGTGGAAATTTATTTAAGAGAAGAGTTGAGAATAAATTTAAATAATAATAATTAATATTATTATTATTATTATTATTATTATTATGAGTAATAACTTATAAATATTAATTGGGAACTCAGCTCTTATTATTGAACGCACTGAAATAATTAATAATTAATAGTAGAAAAAATAAAATAATAAATTGTAAATTATTTATTAAAAAACTGACATATTATATTTTTGTAAATCAACAGAAGCGTTGGGGAGATTACTTGCTAGTGTATTACCGTGGTAAAAAAAAGCTCAGATGAATTTTTAGTGTCTAGTGATAATTTTAGTGAGTGAAAAATATTAATGAGTGTGTAAGAGGAAGATAAACTATAAAGAACACAGAACAAGTATATACGAGAAGAATTCTGAGAGACACACCCTCAGTCTTAGCTTCCTCTCTTTTTTTTCCTTCCTTATCGCTTGATATCTACATTCTTCCTCTCAATTCGACTAGTAATAATTATTATTAAAAAAGGCGAATAAATAAAAGTAAAAATTAACGTGTGATAAATTGAGAGGATAAAAAAAAAGAGCTTCCCGTATCAAGATTTTAATTCAAAGTGTTCTCACCGGGGAAATAGTGCGCGTGTGGCTTGCTTGTATGTGAAGTGCACCCGTGTTTTACATCCCCACTACTTTTTCTAAATAATCGTCGCAACGTCGTCGCGATCGTCACCGACGTACCGTCGGCAAGTTTGTGCACCCTCAAGTGAACCAGCTGCGTTATTAAAACCACAACCAAAATGTCCGTGAGAATGGAAAATGTCGCGGCGCCGAGAAAACTTAACTATAAGATGATGGTGAGTGCTATTTATATTTATTCATATATACATTTTTGTTTTATTACAAACTCATTGATTTATAATTATTGTTTAAATTAGAAGATAAGGTTATGTATGAAGTGACTCTAATTATATTTTTCTCTCAGTTACAGTTGATACCTTAGTGACATATTTGTGGCGTTAATTTTGCGGAATTTATCAGGGAATTTTTATGAGAATATTTTGATTGGGGCGTGCGATGGCCGATAGATCGTCACGAAACCGGCGTAGTTTGACAGCATGCCGCGGGGCGTTTACTGTCCCACCCAACCTCTTTACCCCGCCAACGTATTTCTCTTCTTTCTTGCTTCCCATTTGTTCACTATGGTTGTACTATCTTTCATTATATCCCCCACCAGTCACCATATTTTACTTCCCCTTGTCTGGTTTGATACTCACGGCAACTCACACACATATGCCTCTATGTGCAACATTAAATACAGATGAAATCTCTCTTTCAAAAATGTCAAGTCCAGGCAAATTCATTCTAAAACAAATCTTTTCTATCCATGATAATTTCTCACTCTGAAAACAAGTGCAAAAAAAAATATCTGTCAATTTAAATAATACCACCAAAGTTAGCCATTTTTAATTTTTTTTTTAATTATTAAATTAAAGCTAAAAAATATTTTTAAAAAATTCCATTCATAATTTTTTAAATATGAAATTTTTTTAAATTTTTTCATTAAAAAATTTTAACTTAATTTTCATTATTTAAATATTTAAAATCTACAATAAAATCTAACACAAAATTTCTTCATAATAATAATAATAATAATAATAATAATAATAATAATAATAATATCTATGGAGAATAAAAAAAAATGATAAAATATATAAAATTATAATTCAGCAAAAATTTTCATTTGAATAACTAGGGGTCCTGGAGTCTGGTGACACTTCCGGTCTCACAAAACGAGTTTAGATGTGTGAGGAAGTACTCCATTGACGGTTCTCTTTTAATAATATCTCTCTTTCTATTTATTATTATTTTTAAATGTGATTATCGTATCACAGTGTTCTTAAATGTGTCCATCAGAGATGATCGGGGGTTTAGTTTGCAGAGTTAAGTCTTGAGATATTTTCTCATTAAAGAGGGGAAAAAAGAGAAGTGGCAATGGATTGATCCAATAGCCATGGCGGCGTTCGACGTGCGTTGTCACGTGACCAAAGAATTCGCCGGGCGTGTGTGCGAATCGACGGGATGTCTGGATTAACCTGCTGACGTTTTCTAAGAGTAACTGGACATTTGTATCGATACTATGTCCAATTTAGTAACTGATTATCTGGAATTGAATTTTTTTATTTTAACTCCAACTTGTAAAAACTAGCAGACTATTTTTAAATTATTTTTATTAATTAATAATTATCAGAGACTAATAAAAAATCTTGTTTTAGGTCATAGCACAATTAGATGATAATCCAGGAGGTAAAATGAATGATTGGAATTAATTGATGTGAAGTAATAATGAAAAATAATAATGTGGATAAGGAGAGTTGGCGTCAAATGAGGATCCACTGGGATAGCACGCGTGGTTTGTTTAGGAATGTTGACTCCATGACAATGAGGATAAAAGTTTAACAAGAAGCTTCTCGAGGATTTTTTATTTCTCTCTTGAGCTTTCTCTCTCTATTTCTCGAAGGCCAAGGCAGTTTGCCGGCTAGGCCGGTTGTTAGGTCTTGCTCGTTCGATTGCTCGCATTTTAAGACATACATGTTAGATATTTCTCCTCATACCGGATATCTCTCTCCATGATTTTACTCAGTCTCCACCGTAAGCATTACCCCTTTTTTATTGAGTTGTTTTTGTCGGACTTGTACGAGAGCTCCACGTTGACACTTAACTTGGAACCGTGTCCCCTTGAGATTTTCCTATGAGTAGAGGTAATACATTTTACGACATCACAGGGATGTTCAATGTTGGCCTTGATCGATACCCTTTGCGGGAAAATTGTCTCGGGAGCTACGGATAAGAGGATGAGAACAACGCCAACAGTGGGAGAGAGGATTGAGGAGAGGAAAAGTCGTACCTGCCCTGGTTGATGGGGTCGAAGGACTTTCGGGTGGGGCTGTTGAACTCGCCGGAAAAAGAGGGATGTTTTATATTATTTTATTTTCAAAATTTTTTATTTAAATTTATTTAATAATTTTTTTTAAAAATTATTTAGTGCAAAAAAAATTGGCAGAAATTAAATTTTCATAAATTTATTTAACAATTTTTTTTTTTTTAATTATTTAGTGCAAAAAAAAATTCTATTTTTTAGAGTAAATTTTTATCATTTGCATTATTTTTATAGATAAAGATTAAGCTTTTTTTAAATTAATTTTGATTAATCTGTTGATTAAAATTAATTAACCCGTTGTTTATTTTTATTTTTATATTAAATTAATTTAGAAAAAAAATAATTTATTGTAAATTTTGAGGTAATTTTTTAGGATTCATTTTATAAAAAAAAAAAAATAATTTTAATTAATAGATAAAAATATATTTTTAGATACTAAATTAGAGCGTTTTACTTTTTTGAAAACAGAGTAAAAAAAGCCGCTTTAGTATATATTCAGAGGGGTTAGGATAGCCGGCGTAGGCGGTGCAAGAATATCGATTATTTGTGGTTGCGGCATGCTGCCGTTGCTGCACCCTTAATGCCGGCTATTTCAAAAATTATCTTATTAAAATTGTACTTCAACAGTTAAATTAATATTAATTTTTTTTTTTTTTTTTTTTTTTTTTTTTTTTTAAGAATTTTAAATGTCTATTTAAAAAGAGAATTAAAATTTTTATTTGTCTTATCGATGAATGTTTTTAAATATTATCTATAATGGATATTTAAAGAGACTTTCATAAATAAAAGCGAAAAAAAAAATTAAGATAAACGGGATAGGACCCAGAGATTAACGAGATAGATACCAGGTCGTAGAAAGTCAACATCTTTTGTGTGTCTTTTTGAATAACTAGTCATGCATTGGTGTGTAGTGAGGAAAAGCCAAGTTAAAACTTTCTTTTGGTCTGTAAAATAGCAACTGATTTAATATTTAAATTTTTAATCTACTTATTTTAATATATATTAATACTTTTTATTTTTGCAATAAATATTTGACATTTATATTAATAGTAATTGATTATTTTCACTTTAATTATTCTATTGGCTGATTATTAGTTGAGTAAATAAAATATTGAACGTTAAATTATAACTGAAAAAAATTATTTAAAAATAAAAAATTGATTAAGTGATTAAATATATGTAAGCATACTTTAACACGTAAGTTTGTATGCATATAATTTATTCTATACTTCCTGAGTTGCATTAACCTGTTAATTTGCTGTTGAAATAAAAATTAAAAGCAACCAGTGTTTAGATAAAAATTTATCAAGTACAGACATTAAAAATATTTTTAAATTATTTTAATTTGCGGAAGAAAGAAATTTTTTTTAGTAATTAAATTAAAATTAAACTAAAATTTATTTAGCTCCAAAACCGGACGTGATTGTGTATTCTTTTTAAGTGTCACCGTTAATGCCAATATAAATGAGTATGTATTTATACTTTTATAAAAGAGAATAATAATTAACATGTATGAAATTAAGTGACTTTCGTAGGATGAGTTAGCTCTGATGTCGAGGGAATTTGAGCTATTTTGTAGCCCGGGAGTGGACAGCTAATAATACTGCTATGCCTAGGTATAAAAAAAGGTGTCGGGTCAGTCTATTGGCGCTTTGCCTAAATTTTCATCTTCCTTTCCTCGAGTAATATTATCTTAATTAATTGATTTATTAAATCAATCTAATCAATCACTTTCTACCTTGTGACATTGAAGTAACCAGTCACTTGATCATTTTAAAAATTTTTTTAATCCATAAATGTGTTCAAAAAAATTTTTTTTAAATTTAATTTCTATTTTTTAAATATCAATTTTTTTGCAATAATTTATTTGTTATAAAAATAATCAAATATCTGCTAAATTAATTTTTATTTATAAAAATAGACAAAAATTCTTTTATCTTGATCATTTTAATAATTTTTTTTTTTTTTTCAATAATTAAATTAGAACAAAAAATTATTTTTAAAAAATTGCACTTATAGTTTTTTTAAGTTTTTTACAAATAAAATTTTTTTTTTATTAAAAAATTATTACAAAAAAAATTTTATTGATAAAAAACTTTTAAAGTAAAATTTTTAAAACAAATTTAATAAATAAAAAAAATTTAATATTAATTAATTTTAATAAAATTTGAATCAATTTGCTCAAAATTGATTTAAAGCCAAAATGTAAACATTAGAATTAATTATTCTGGACGAGTTATCAATGATTTAACGGCAGAAGATTCAAGTGAATCTTTAACGTGACCAAGAGCATGGTTCTTGTTATTTAGTAGGGTCTGGGCTGTTCAATCCCCTATTTTATCATTACCCACGTGATACCCACACCGTACTGAGTTTAAATCTATCTCTACTCTGTTTAGTTGGAATGAAAGAAAAAAAAATGATACGCGTGCATTTGTTCAAGGCAAAGCCGCATGGAATTCGTGGTATGTGACTATGAGACGAGAGGAGCACTAAGATAAGTGTAGAGACTGGTTTTTAAAGACTTATACACACTTCCTTCGTTACCCTATCATCATAATCGCTGTCGTCGTCGTCGTCCTTTTTCTCGAGTCTACTTAATAATTTATCTTATTACAATATTTAAATACTTTTATCCATTTTATTTTATCAATTACCTGATGAATGACCTCACTAATGTTATCTCAAGGTGAAAATTACAGACTTACTGACCTCACTTTGTTAGCATTCAATTTATTTTAGTCTTATCTCTTTGTAATTTTATTCGAGTTATTTATTAAACCATTAATAAAACTTTTCGTCATTCATTATTTAACCACAAAAATTATTACAACTGAGTTTCATTATTTATTATTTTAGATACTTTTATTTAGATAAAAATTATTTTGTTTAAAAAAAAAAAAAACAACTTATTATTATGCTTGATGAATCATATTGCAAATAAATATTTAACAATTTATAAATATAAAAAATCTAAAACTACGCACTCAAAAAAAAGTAATTTTTTTATTTTTTTGTAGTAAAATTCATAAATTAAAAAATTTATAGAATAGCTGTTGTGTTTATTTTAGTATGTACAAAATGTTTTGTAGATGTCACTGTCGTATCACTATTATTGTCAGTTCTTTAGATAAAAATTAGTAAATATTCCATAAGCATAAAAAAAATAGGTGTGATGAATATTTATCAGTTTTAAGTTTTTTATTATTATAATTGATTTAATAAAATATTAATCTAATATTATATTAAAGTTAGCAGTCACTAGACTATTATTTAATTTTATTTATTAAAAAATTTGTTCTAAAAAACTATTTTTAAAAAATTGCATTTTTAATTTTTTTAAATTTCTAAATATCAATTTTTTTTTCCCATAATTTATTTGTTACAAAAATTATTAAATATCTTCCAAGTTAATTTAAATTAATCTAATAAAAAAAGGGTTTAATTTATAATGATTTTTAATAGTTATATTAACAAAGTTTTTCATAAAATTTAGCTGTCACTTGGTCAATTTTTTATTTTATTTAACAATTAAATTAATTTAAAAAAATTGCATTTTCAATTTTTTTTCTTCTTTTTTTTTGCCATGATTTATTTATTAAAACAATTATTATATATCTGTTGAATTAATTTTCATAAAAAATTTTTGATTAATTTTATAAATAAAAATTAATTTAGCAGATGTTTGATTATTTTTGTAACAAATAAATTATGACAAAAAAAATTAATATTTAAAAAATTAAAAATGTAATTAAAAAAAATTTTTTTAGAACAAATTTATTAAATAAATAATAAAAATTAATTATATATATTTTATATTAAGTAAAAATTGACAACAATAATTATTTATCAATTTGTTTAATGAATTATCACAATTCAAAGACTTGAATGATTAAAATAAAGATGTTTCAGGGTACAAATGGACCTCGGCCAACATACGCAGGCGCGAACAACGGTAGCGCAGGGAATGCTGGAGCCGGTGTGGGCGTAGGACCAACTGCTGGAGGACACGGACTAAAAAGTGGTGCGGGAGGTGCTCCCCGCGGAGGTAATCCTGTGCAATACCGGGCAAGTGCCGGTGCTTGGGGTGCTACACCGTCCCACGCGGCTGCTGCCGCGGCGTATCCACCGTACACGAGGTACCCGACCGCGGCCGCGCAAATGCCGGTTGGAGCCCAACAACTACCGCCAACCGCGAATCCCTACGCTGCGACTGCTTACGCGCAACATGCTTCAGTAAGTCATTTATAGATCTATCATTTCAATTCATCCGGTCGTTAAATAAATAAATAAATTACTTATTGATTAATTAATTAATTTTTTTTTTTTTTTTTTTTTTTGTTTTTTTTTATTTTTTCTAGTATGGAGGACAAAGAGTGCCAACAGCATCTTCGCCAGCTAATACGAGTAGTAGCTCCAGCAGTGCAACTGGTAGTCAAAGTGGGACAATCAGTACAAACTTGAGTAATAACGCAATGCAAGGCCAACAACCGGAGCAGCTGTCTAAAACAAATTTGTACATCCGTGGCCTCAACCAAAACACAACTGACAAAGATCTTGTTAATATGTGTTCTCAGTAAGTAATAATTCGTGTGAATAACAAAAAAAAGCACACACACATACACACACACATTTAATTTTAATATAAATTACCGCAGAAAAAATTTAAGTAATTGATTACTAATGGGGTCTATCCTATTTTTGGCCTTATCCAAGTGAAAAATTAACATTAACATTCCATTCAAAAAAATGAAAATAAAAATGGTGGACCTCATTTATAAATAATTACAAATATTTTTTATTAAAATTAATAAAATTATTAAATTTATTCTGCGCTAATTTTATTTTTCATAATCGTTGGTTCTTATTCTAAAATATTTGTAATGCTTTTTTTGCTTTGCAGATACGGAACTATAACTTCTACAAAAGCGATCCTGGATAAAAACACAAATAAATGTAAAGGTACTTAGTTGATTTATGCAATTTTTAGTTAATATTTTATGTACTTTTATTAAAATGTTGATATTTTAAAACTAGTTTTAAATTAAGTTAAAAATAATTTTCTGGCTTTCTAAAAATGAAAATATCAACATCATAGTATAGTCTAATTAAATAACCACAACAAATATAATTAATAAATAAATGTCTTTATTTATTTTACAGGTTATGGCTTTGTAGACTTTGAATCACCGGTGGCGGCTGAGGGTGCTGTGAAAGCACTGGTCGCCAAGGGCATCCAAGCACAGATGGCGAAAGTGGGTATCTGGTTGCATCGTAGACTGGCCAGTGTACGTTGGTTGTGCATGCAAGTACAGTAATACCAGAGTAACAGTAAACCTTTCTATCTCTCTTTATTTCTCATTTCTTTCTCCAGTCCTCCAACCTCACATCATATATTTATTTATTTTTATTAATTTTTTATTTCACTATTAAATTTATTAAAACCAGCTCCCGGATACCAACATCAACTTCAGGGTCATGGTGATTGTATCCATCTCTCTTTATAATTTTTTTTTTCCAAGAGAAAATCTGTAACTTCTTATCAAGTAATTCCATAAATCCTTTCTTTGTGTGACCTATTAATTAATATACTTGAAATACTATTCCTATCATTAACTTATCCAACTGTGAAACTGTCTCTTCTACCTATGTTGATATGCTTGCTGCTATACCTCGGCCAAAAACACAAATGCTGATTTTAACTGCTGTACCTTAAGTCTCAGTGACATTTTTTCTATCGCGTCTCATCACGTTGACACTTTACCTTAATTAATTCACTTTTAAATACATCATTTCAATTTTTTATTTAATTTTTTTTAACAAAAAATAAAAAAATTCACATTTTTCACCTGCCATACTTTTTCATTAAAATTTTTTAAAAATAAAATAAATTCATAAAAAAAATTACGATGTATGGCAGCATCTTTCAGACATTAGCTTAATTTATAAGTAATTTTTCTGCATTTTAAAATTTGGAGTTCTAAATAAATAAAAAAAAAAAAATAATTATAGCAATGAAAATTTCAAAATGAGACGTGAAATTAAAAACGCTATTAATCTTTGTCTTTTTTCCTGTCACTTTAGTAATCTTTTTTAAAACAAAGTACATAAAATACTACAAATAATAACGTTAAATGAAAAAATAACTAACTACTCACGGAATGGTTCTTCTAACCTGGCTCGCGGTGAACTAAAGCACACCCATTCATACATACATAAATATATATGTATATTTACATACATGTATATATAATATACGACAGGCTGTGATAATGTATCCAATCGCATGTGATATGATTTAAAAATTTTGAATGGACCAGTATATATTAATTAACTTATATTTATATCAATATAATGATTTTACATTAGTTTTATTAAGGAAATAATTTTTTTTTTATTGTGTACATGCAATTTTCGCCTAATGTACAATGTATTGGTTGCTAACGATTTATTTTATTAATTAATTTAATAAATATTAATTTATTTTATCGAATATTTAACAGTGAATTTCTCGGAAGTAAAATGAATCGTTAGCTATCCATGTACGCGATAACATAATCACTTATATAAGAAACATTACTCTTTTATTATCTTTTTAATCATAAACTGAAAAATAAATATATACATAATTTAAAAAAAAAAAAATACGCCATCAGCTTGGCTTATACCATAATGTTTTCATTATTTATTCTGTTTTTGTGTTAATGCATTCGCAAGATTGAAGTAAATTGTCGTAAAGTATAAGTATATTCAAGTAATAGTAGATTTGTTTGATTAATTTATCTCTCGTATCAATTTTATTAATTTCATCATTTTTATGATTTAGTATTTTTTTTTTTTTATTAATTAATTACTATTTTTTTTATTATTTTTATTATAAAAACTATCATAGTTTATATGACAGTGGAAAAATTTAAAAAAAAAGTATAAAAAGTTGATGAGTCTTGATATTTTACTTTATTTTTAATAATTATTATTTACATAAAGATAATTTTTTATTTGTTATTTATTGATGGTGGAATTTTGAGATTCATCACAGCGACAAGAATGTTACAATGTATATTGATGCCATGAAGCATGCAAAAACTATCGATTGAAATACTTTTTAGAGTCCCATTGGAAAATTTGAAAGAATCATTAGTTAAAAAATAAAATTAAATCTATTAAATAATTATTTGAGTGCGTTCAAATATTAGAATCATATATCTAGACTATAATTGATTGTGATTAATTAAATTATATATTATAGTTTAAAATTGTAGATTTTTAGTAGTAGATTTTTCTTTTTGGTATTTTTTTTATTTTATTTAATTACTCATTAATTTATTTTTAACAAAAAAAAGAAGTTGAAAAACTGTACAAAGATAAATCTAATTAGTATGTATTCATTGTTCTAAGATTAGAAAAAAAGAGAAAATTCTAATAAGGGTTTTAATTATTTTATTATTTATTTTTTTTATTTATTTATGAAGGTATATAAAAAAACGCGTTGCTTCCATTCGTCTTTTTTGCATTGAACTTTGCTCTACTATCAATGAAGATTAAATTTTGTCATTGTATTAGTTTATTACAGACAGCAATTGAAGTAACGTGTGCTATTTTTTTATTTTTTGTTTTTTTTTTTTTTTTTTTTTTTCAATGTTGTAGAAAAAATTAAATTTTAATGATATTTAAGGACAAAATTTCTTTTTTAATACCAATTGTTTTGCATAGATGTTTTTTTTTATTCCTCAGCAACAGGAGCAGGATCCTACTAATCTTTATATTGCAAATTTACCACTAAACTTCAAGGAGAATGATGTTGAAGGACTGCTTGCACAACACGGACAAGTTATATCTACACGGATATTACGCGATACCCTTGGACAGAGTAAAGGAGTCGGTTTTGCTCGGTAATAATTTTTTATCTATTTTTAAATCAACTAAATTAATCAAGTATTGATTGAGAAATTTTTTCCTTCTTCTAGGATGGAATCAAAAGAAAAATGTGAACAAATAATCCAAATGTTCAACGGTAAAGCTTTACAAGGAGCAAAGGATCCTCTTTTGGTAAAATTTGCTGATGGTGGTAATAAAAAGAAACCGTACAAAAGTTCAATATGGCGAGAAACAGGAGATGTAATTGAATATTTTTTATATTTAATTAAATTTATTTTTATAATTAATTTATTAATTTTATAATTTTTTTTTTTATTTGTAGAATATAACACTAAATTACGACACGAGTGGAGTAGGTCAGAACGGAGTACCAACGGCTCACATGCTTCCAGCAGCTACTCTCGCTCAATACAGTCGTCATTACGGACAAGCAGTGCCTGGTTATACTGTTCCAGGAACACCTTGGGTTACTCCATACGTTTTACAAACCGGACCTCCACATATGCAACAGGTTGACGTGAGTCCGGAGCTACGCGAGGCTCTAAGTTAATTCATTATGGTAATAATTGTTCAATATTGAATTAACTTTTGTTTTATTTTTAGATGATGCCTTCAGCGGATCCTAGCAATCCACAGTACAGCATGATTCCTCAACTAACCACTCAAATGTCAACACTACATCTTGGAACTGGCTCTGTAAGTGTTTTAACCGATTATAAATCTTAAAAAATGTCGAGAATTAAGAAATGACCTTGTATCTTGTGAACTATTGACATTTTTAAAGATATAAGCTCATCCCGATGTTACACTCATCAAGAGCTTTCATTTGAGTACCCACATCAATTTTTCATATATTTATATATATTATATATATATATGTATATATGAAAAATGTATCAAAAATGCATGTGGGTACTCAAATGAAAGATCGTGATGAGTGTAACATCGGGATAAGCTTATATCTTTAAAAACATCAATAGTTAAGAAAGTACAGTGCAATGTAACAAAAGTCATTATTAATTAGTACATACAATTTTTTTTTCATCTTATTTAATAATTATATTTTTAAATTGTTTAAATTTTTACAGTACATCGCAGCAAGCCCGCACCCGTATCCTTATTCTTACCCTCCCAGCATTATTCACACCATGCCTTTGGGTGAATCCGAGCAAACGAGCAACGCGGCGTCACCAGATGAATCTTATCAGCAGTACCAAGCTCAGCAGCCCAAGTAGGCAACAGTATATAGGTTAGATCGGATATAGTTTATTAGAAATGGGGGAAAAAAAAAATAATAATAAATAAAAAAGAAAAAAAGATAATGATTTTCAACGGTCAATAACTTTTATTAATTATAAATTGGTTGATATATATTCGGATAAAAATAATTAGAGTTTGAATTATTTTTTATTTTTATTTTTATTTAATTTTTTTAAATGTTATTTGTTTTAGGTACGAATATTTCGAAGGTTACATAAGTTAGGGCAACGTAAGAAGAGTATAGAGAAATTAAGAAAATAAATAATAAAAATAAAAATGAAGAGGAAGATTATGTAAAGAGAGGAACAATGAGGTGATGTAAAGCATTAAATTTGTAAGCATACAAATTTAAAAAAATTTATTATTGAAATTACGTATTGAAATAATCATACTTAAGTTTAAAAAATTAATTAATAAATAATTTGAATAATATTAATATATTGAAGGTAAATAAAATTTTTTTTTTTTTCATCATTAAATTAAAAAAATTCTTCCTCATGATTTTAAAAGCTGACAATTGATGAAATGGTGGAGCAGGGTGGACAAAGTAGATGAACAAAACTTGAATATTAAAAAATAATAAACTTGCCAGCCATCTTTTATACAATTTAACCAAAATAAAACATGAGATATACATACGAGGTGAAAGTAGTTGATATTTTGCAACAAGTAGATAAATGATAATAAAAAAAAAAATAAATAAATCTTTGACGATAAAAATTATTACGATGCGATTGTGTCATAATTTGTAATTACTGTTCGTACTGAAACAAAAAAATAACTAAATAAATTTTCACTTGAGTGTTTTAATTAATTAAAAAAAAAATAACACTCAGAGTTTTTTATCTCTAACGGGCCAACTGTATTTTTTGTTTCTTTATATATGTAAAATCATTGATAAATATCGGCCATACGGTGATGATAGGCTTCCAGGTTAAATTTGTATATTTAAAACTTGACTATGAAGTCAAAAAGATCATGTGAGACGTGCCGAAGCTAAAATGCTTGAAAGTGTGAATAAATATTTTATTGATAAAAAAATTTTTAAATAATAAACACGAGCTAGATGAGAATGTAAGTGAGAATATGCGATAGCGAGAAAGTAAGAGTAAAAGAATAAAAGCGAGACTGAAATTGATAAAGCGTGAAAGAAAATAATTGAAAAGAATTGAAAAAAAAATCAAATAAATTTTTTTAACGAAATAAAGTAAATTCTGTAAAACTTATTAAAAAAATGATAAAAATACAAAAAAATAAAAAAAAAAAAAAACTGACGCTGCTCAGAAGTTATTACAAAGATTAACTCTTCCCAAGACATTTATGTAGCGTAGGGGCAACGACCAACTCATTTCTTGACGTTTTATTGTCTGTTGAATTGTCATTGCCTCGAGTTGTAATTTTATGATGATTAATAATAGCCCATTGGGGGGGGGAGAAAGAAAGGGGTAGTTAGATACTTCCGAACCTAAGTGGATAATGATAAATATACTCGACATGTTTTCTACACTTTATCAAATTATTGTAAAAAAAATTCACACGATACTGATTATTTTTTTCTGTTGTCTAAATATTCAGACATTCCGATTATTTTGCTACTCTTGAATTTTTTTTATATTTAATTTTATCAGCGTGAACATTTTATTTTTTATTCGAACAAAAATATATTAAAAAGAACAAGTGAGAGGAAGACAAATTAATTATTGTATAAATTGCTTGAACAATTAATTAAAGAACAATTTTAAAGAGTGAATTTAAAATGAGTGCTTAGTTGTATAAACTGGATTTAAAAAAAATTTTTATAAAATAATTTTAGAGTGAAAAAAAAAATTTTTTTTTAATATACAGTGATAACAGAATTTTTGTTTAGAATCGTGCCTTTCCAGAACAAAATCCGCTTAGAAAAATGAGAGGGGGGTTTTATTAAAAAAGATAAAAGCTGAGAGTAAATAAATAAAAATTTTAAAATGAACAAAAATTAAGAAGACCATATTTAAATAATATATTTTTAGCGTCGTTGAAATCGTAAAAAAAAAAAAAAAAAAAAAAAAAAAAAAAAAAAGATATGAAATAAAAGACTCGGGCAAGTTTTTTAAATTTTCTCTAGTTGCTACGAGGATTATTATTTTCTATTATGACTTTTTTATTGTCTATTATTTATATATAAAGATAAAAAATGAAACAAAAAAATCTTGATGTTAAAGTGAGAAATAAAAACGTAGATTTTGTACGAATAGATTTTTGTCACAAGATCGTTGGAAAGGATTTTAAAAAATAGTCTAGAGTAATTAGAGGCAGTGTAATGAAAGAATGGAAGTGTGAATTGATAAAAAAAATCGTCTGGAAAAAAATCAAATAGAAAAATAATTTTTTTTTTTGTATGCCTGCGATACTTAGTTAGTTATTTAATTAAAATTTTAAATAATTATCTGAGTTGAGGTTGCATAATTAAAAAAAAATAATTTTCTCTAAAAGAAACCTGTTCTTCTTCCTCTAACTTTTTCTTTATTCTTTACCTAAAATCCTTGATTAAGTTCCTAAATTTTTATTTAATAAATAAACAGTTAAAAAAAAATCCTAAAAATGTACCATAAGGTTTTCAAAATAATAGCCGACGATTCTTAATATAGCGACTAGGAAATACACTGATGCAAAAATTATAAAATAAAAAATATGTAAAGCTTTCTACCAAATATAAGACAAGTTCTTGATGCTAGGTGTTATCATTTGTACACGCGGCACACACTTCACTAGCACACGAAGGAAGAAATAATAGTTAGGTAGATTCTTAAAGTATGACAAAAAAAAATAATGAAAGAAACTTTTAGCAATTATATCGAAATACAAACGACTGATGAATAATTAATTATTTTATTATTGCTAGTATTATTGTAAAGTAATAAATTATTCATTAGCGGTTGATAAGCGTCATCTAAATGTATGAAAGATTTTTACACTGTTGAATCTTGAAGTAAATAATATATTTAGTTTATTTTGGTACATCACAATTTGATGATTGTAAGAGCGCGTGATTGTTTAATTGACTGATGATTGATAAATAGTTTTACGAGAGTATATGGGTATGAAGTATGTTAGTTAGCTCGACTGAAATTTATGTGCGGAGATAATATAAAAAATGAAATAAAAAATAAAAAAAATCATGAAAATTAAAAAAAAAAAAGATATTTTTTAAGATACAAATATTGTACTCGATTCGAGTTTGTGCTAAAATAAATGAAGCCAAGGAGGAGTCAATGATTTAATGATGAATAGAAGGGATAATTTTTTTGAAGAAATATTTAATAATAATTATTATTAAATGATAATAATAAATCAACTCTACACGGAAAAAATAAGATGATACTGGATATTATCCCAGATTATGAAATTAAAAATTTTAGATAGTTAAAAAAATCCAGATTATACTGAGTGATATCTCGATTATAATCTGGATAATACTTATTCGAATTCTGGATTATATACTAGCTACTATCTTAAATTTTTTTTCACTCAGTATAATCTGGGATGATATCCAGTATCATCTTGTTTTTTCAGTGTATACTTTGTAAATCAGATTGTGAAAAATAAAGAACTTCACCAGGTAGCTCTAGAAACAAACAAATGATAATGATAATAAGAGAGAAAGATAACTTTGTAATGAGTAAATTTTTTCAAAAATTTTACTAAGAAGAAACATTTAATTGATTTAAGTAAAAAATCTAGACTCTAGATTTACTAAAAAAAAAAATACTGTTAAACTGAGACGACCAAACATGTTGAAAACTTCGGCTGGTTAAAAAAAAAAAACTAATGAAAAAATAAATTACTGAGGAAGAAATAAAGTGATAATGATGACGATAAAGATGGAGAGTGAAAAAAGGATTTTATTGTATAGGAGTGAAGAAAAATTGTCACGTAAAAAAATATTGAACGTCGTTAGATGTTAAACGGATATAGATTAGTTAATAAAGTTAAAAAAATAAGTTAAAGATAAATGAAAAAAAAATGAAAAAAAAAAAAAAAAACCGACTTTAGGTTTTTATAGAAATAAAATAAAAAAATGCCTAGTTGATAAGATAATTTTTAAGTAGATAGTAATTAGATGTTAGTTAGGATATAAATGCCTCCTCCTCTTTATTCCTCTCTGCTATTTTCAAGACGTCTCTCCTTCACGATATTTTGCTGCAAACTTTGTAGAGGCGACTTGAAAGATATCGTAATTAAGAAAAAAAAAAAATTTAATTATTAATTAATTTAAATATGACAAATATCGAAGCAGATGGTTGGAAAAAACATCCCGTTTAGTCTACGCACTTTGAACCCGTTTAAGACTGACTGGCTAAATATATAATGATAAATATGTATATTATATATATATATTTATTATTTTACAACATTAATTCAAACTGTAATATAACGCTTGAGAGTTAATAAATTGTTAAAAAAAAAATCTACAATTTAGCAAGAAATATTTTTGCTTGCTGCTTAACTGCGGGTCGGGTGCGAGGACTGCTCGGTTACTGCATGTATGTCTGTTAGAATAATAAATAAAATAAAATTAATGTAAGTTTTACGAAGAAGAAAATGAAAAAAAAAAAAAATAAAAATAAAATAAAAAAAAATATAACTAGATAGAGTGTCTTGATGCTGAGCTCGTGCTTTTTTATTAGCTAAATAAAGAATGATTATTGTAATTTGAGTGGATGAATTAATTATTAATTAAAACACAGATACACTAAAACACCATTGTATACATTGATACTGAACAAACTACATTCGGTAGATAATAGATTTAATTAACAAAACCCATTTTGTAGCTGTTAGAGTCCATTGTGACGTAGTCCTTAGGCTAAGAAATTAGTTGAAAATAAAATTAGTTTTAAAGAAAAAAAATATTGATTAAGGAATTAAGTTAAAAGTAGATTAAGTAATGTATGTGTGTATTGTATGACTACTTGTGTGTTGAAAAAGAGGAAAAAGAGAAGGAGGTGAATTTAAATTACGGCTTAAGATTTTATTATAAATTTATGTTTAATTATTTTTTTTTTTTATTTTATCTGTTAGTAGGGAAGCGAGGATAACTCGTTAAGAGACTCTTTGTACAGTCCTTTTGCGTAATTATTGTTTACATGGTTTGTCAACTAAGTGTGTACGTATGCAAGATTAATAAAGAAGAATTATTTCAATTTAAGTGTGATTAAATGAAGAGAGTGTGAATGTTTTTAAGGAAGATAGAATTGTAGTTCGCTAAAAAAGGAAAGAAAAAAAGGTGTTTATTTGATTTTTATACAATAATTACGTTCCCTTTTTCTTTTCATTATTTTAATCTTAAGTAAAAAAAATTTTAAAAAGTTTTAAGATAAATTATTTTTTCCTTCATGCTTTCTTACTTTTTTTTCTAAGTTTTTTTTACATTTATCATGAAATTTTTTTTTAAACATCCGAATTTTTATTTATACGTACTGTGAAAAAAAAAAGTTATTAAATATAAATGTTTTAATGAAGTAAAATAAGACAAATGTGTCATAGTTTATAATTAGAAAATCTTTAGAGGTTGATAGGTGCTGTAATTGAAGAAGAAATTGATGAAAAAAAAAAAATGTAATTTATTAAAATTTTAAGGTAAAGAATGTTTTAATTATTAGAGAGAAATTTCTTGATAAAACTTGGATAAGAAAATAAGGGTATGAGCCACTAAAAGTGCCCTTATTTTATTTTGGGTCGTTTGAGAATATAAAAACTAGTCTTTGTGTATTTTTTTGACATTAATTAGAGTGTGAGAGAGTAATTAAGTGAAAGAGTGATATCACGAGTTGGATTTTTTTAAATAAATAGTTTTCATCATTTTTTTAAAAGAGTAACTAAATAATACCAACAGATAAAATTATTTTTTTTAAATCCTTTTATAAATAATATATGTTTTTCGGGATCTTGAAAGTGAAAAATAATATTCTTATAAATATTTTTTTTTTAATTATTATAGTCCTTTATTTTAAATAAACATCAATTGTTTGAATTATAAAATTAGTAAAATATAAATTCAAGTTTTATTTTTTAACCATAAGAATTTATTAAGCGTAACTCGACTTGAATACTCTGACGGTATTATCAGCTCCGCCAGAGACTATGAACTTCGGATTTGACCAATTACAAGCAAGGACTTTGTTTTCATGGCCTGAAAGTTCGTACAATGGTGCCTTGGGACTGAAAATAAATTCATTTTATTTTATTTTATTTTATAAAATTATCCTAATGTTTTTAATAATTAAAAATTTTTTAATTACCTCCGGGTGTCCCAGAGCTTCAAGCTGTTATCACAAGCTCCGGAAATGAATAGGTTTTCGTTGGTTGTTGACCAGCGAACTCCTTGAACCCACTGTGTGTGACCAGTGAATGTTGTCTTCACAATAGAACCCTCTAAAGTTTTCATTAAAATATTAATATTATTTATTTAAACCTAATAATTTAAAATTTTAATTCTGTATTTTTTTTATCAAAAAAATTTTATAAAACTAATTAAAAATACTTTACCTGATGTACGTGGGTCATACAATCTAATATGTCTATCAGCTGAAGCAGTAATGACAACCCGCGACAAAGGAGAATAATCAAGATCAAAGAAGCTTTTATTTCCCGGAATTTCATGTTTTATTCCACCCAATTCTGAATCCCAAATTTTCAGAGTATGATCCCATGAACAGGTAATTAATTCTGATTTATCTGACCATACAACCCCACTCACTGCTTCTTTATGGCCTTTCATTGTTCTTTTCGGCGTCTGTAAATAAAATAAAAAAATAAATTTTTATAATAAATATTAATAAAGTAATTAAATTAAAATCATACCCTAGTTTTTCCCCTATCTGTTTTCATTCTTTTGCTTCTTGATTCCCCATCTTCGTTGTCGTTTTCGTCTTCGTCAGAAGTCGACCATATTTTTAACATTGTGTCCCAAGACCCAGTTGCCATAACTCCTTCGTCCTTGTTAACTCCGACGGACTCTAGAGATTGCTCATGACCACGACACACGTGGATCCAGTCTACTGAATTTCTAGTGATGTTCCACTTCCATATTATTGCAGTTTGATCTTGTGAGGCACTGAAAAAATATGACAACACATTAAAAAAAATAAAATATACCTACTTATTTCTAGTGGAGTAGTTATTTTAATTATTTAGTTACTTACCTAACAAACGTTCCTGATTCAAGATCCATTGATATCCAGGCTACTGATTTAACTGGAGCGCTGTGACCAGGAATTGTAAGTTTATGCTGACCTTTGGAAGTCCAAATTTGCACTGTATTGTCATAACAACCAGATAAAATCCTAGACAATTAAAAAAATGTACAGCTGTATTACATAATTAAAAATCTATGTAAAGAAATTAAAATTAATTTAGCAGATATTTGATAATTTTTGTAACAAATAAATTGTGACAATAAAGTGAGTAAAAAAAAAAAAAATTAAAAATACAATTTTTTTTTTAAATTATCTTTTGGTATAAATTTGTTTGTTAAATAAAATTAATAAAATGGTCATTAATGTCATTAAAAATTAAAGAACGCAAAAAATAAAATTGATGTTGAAAAATTACCATTTTTCTGATACAGCTACAGCAGATACCCAGTCATCGTGTACCAAACAATCTTGTGGCTCAGGTGGAGGATGCTTTTCTAAATATTCAACATCAATTACATCTTCTGTAGATGCTCCACGTTCGTTAATGTGCTCTGACAATGAAGTTCTCAGCAATTCAGAGCAAACCAAAAAATCAAATTCTACTTGCTTATCATTTCCGCTGTCTAAATAAATTAAAAAAAAATAATTATTAATAAACAAAATTTTTGTTGTGAAAAATATTTTTTTTTTTTACTATACCTTTCAATATTTGATTTACTAAAATATTTAACTCATCAGGAATAATATTTACAGACACAGAAAAGGGATTATCTGGAACGGCAAATCTGAAACACAATTATTATTTTAAAAATTATTTTTTAAACAATATATTTCAAGCCATGATAACCTATCAGGTTATAAATAATATAACATACTGTGTCTGTTTGGTCACAAATTTAATTTGAATTTGTGGTGCATCAGCTGTATTAATTCCAGCCATCGTTTTGTAACTTATTTATTTATGCCACTGTTAATTAATAAACGAGAAAATTAATTGAAATGTTTCAAAAGCCAATAAACACATGTGGTTATGCTGATGCTGAGCGGAGTTTAAATTATTATCCAAATAATTCGGCGGATACCAATTTTAGTATATTTTTTACCGCTTGGTGTCGCCACTAGTCTATTCTTATTTTGGCAGGTTTTTAAATTAAAAAACTGCCTTTAGGTCCTCTCCTTTCTATCCTTCTCTTTACTAACCTAATAAATTGTTGTTTGAATAATAAACTGAAGTAGATTTCTTAAAGTTGAATTTTATAAATTTATTACAAGAAAATAAATATTAATTCAAAAATGAATGATGAAGATAATGCTAAGGAGTATCGGTGGGAAACCGGCTATGAAAAAACCTGGTAATTATTTATTTATTTATTTATTTATTTATGTTCATTAATGTCAATCGGCATTAGTTTATTGGTTTATTATTCTTTGAATTATAAATTATGATTAAAAAAATTATAAATTATTAATGATAATTAAAAATTATAATTATTTAATCAAAATAACCATTGATTTATTAAAAAAAAATTTTTTTTCACAGGGAATCTATTCAAGAAAATGAACACAAAGGTATTGACATCTCTGTGGCGGAAATTATACACAAAGCAAAGAGAAAACGTCAAATTGAAAAATCTGGAGGAGCTAGACTGGGTATGATGAGGCACCTTTATTTAATATTAGATATTTCTGAAGGAATAAAATCCCCAGATCTCAAGCCCACTCGTTTGATTTGTACAGTCAAAGTATGTAATTAACATCTGAAAGAATATTTAAAAAAATTAATTATTCAATAACTTTAATTCTAATATTCTTTTTTTTCATCAGCTTTTAAAAGAGTTTATCGAAGAATTTTTCTACCAAAATCCCATTAGTCAACTTGGAATAATCGTAACCAAAAATAAGAGAGCTGAAAAAATAAGTGAATTATCTGGAAATGTTAAAAAACATGTCAAAGTATGCATTTACACTATTTAATATTATAAAAATATTTTTAACAATTTTTTGTAATTAAAATTTTTATTTTTTAAGGAAATAACAGCATTGTTAAATTCAACGTCACTTATAGGAGAGCCATCGTTACAAAATTCGTTAAAATTAGCACTTAGTTCATTAAAAAATTTCCCTTCACACGCAAGTCGTGAAGTGCTTTTAATTATGTCTTCATTAACTACTTGTGATCCTGGTGACATTAATGAAACGATTAAGGTAATTTAATTTTATATTTAGTACCTGTTACAAGTATTAACAATTATTTCATCAACAGTGATTTCCATTATCCCATAATAGAGACTTTTAATGATGTTATAATCGCAGCTAAAATTTATTAATTAGTTAAAATAATAAGAACAGTTTAATAAATTAAATACTGAAATTATTTAAGATGTAGTTTATTTTACTTAACATTACAAACACAACTTTAAAGACTTATTAGTATGTAAGGAAAAATGTAGAAGATAGTCTCCTCTAATAATTAATAATAATTATTATTATTATTGATGTAAAAAAAAATTTAATTTTGAGTAAAATTTCAATTTAATATTAATTTTTGTTAAACAGAATTTAAAAGCCGAAGGTATAAGATGTAGTGTCATTGGCTTAGCAGCTGAAATTCATATATGTAAACAATTAGCATTACTGACTGGAGGCGAGCACGGTGTAATTTTAGATGACAAACATTATAAAGAGCAATTAAATGCACATGTCGATCCACCACCAGCAGCAATGAGGCTTGACGCTGCATTAGTTAAAATGGGATTTCCTCATCAAACTCTATCTTCCGGCACTGACACTTCTATTAGTGTTTGCATGTGGTAAGTTTATCAATTTATTACTTTCTGATAATTCAAACTATTAATATATATCATTGTAAAAAAAAATTTTTGTTTTAGTCATGCTGATGGTACAGATGAATCTTCAAAATTAACTAACGTGGGCTATCTTTGTCCACAATGTCTTAGCAAACACTGCGAACTGCCAGTAGAATGCAAATCTTGTGGTCTTACGTTAGTTTCAGCTCCGCATTTAGCTCGGTCTTATCACTATCTATTTCCTGTAAAACATTTCCAAGAAGTAACATTCGACGGAAGCACTTCATTTTGCTATGGTTGTCAGAAAAAGTTTGATGACGATATTGATAAAAAGGTACATACATTTTTTTTTTTTTTTCTTAAATAAATAAATATAATCTTGAATCACTATTTTTAATACAAATTTATTATCACAGGTGTATATCTGTGAAAAGTGCACTCGGACTTTTTGTCTCGATTGTGAAATATTTATCCACGAGTCATTGCACACGTGTCCAGGATGTGCTAGCAATGCAGAATTTTCTACGTAAACGAGCACGATTGATAAGTTAAATTAAAAAAATTAAAAGATTAATCTGTTGTATTTTTAAAAAGTTAACTTAAGTCATCATCATCATCAGTATAATAAATTTATTAAATTTATTTCAGCATTTATGAGTAATAAATTATTACCAGTAGTGTCATATTAATTGTGTAGGTCAGTATTAATACTAATTGAACTGCGGATGTTGATTTAAAAAATACACAAAGGGCATTTATAAATAAATTCAGAGTTGATTTTATAAATTATGATTAATTTTACTACCACGATTATCCCGGCTTACTCGACCACAGGGGAAGGAGAATAATGAAGGAATTAACAGAGTAAAAGAGAGATAATCTCGTGGAGGGAGTGAACAGGTGTATGATCTCGAGTAACTCATAAATGTTACTGTTTAGTTCGCGCCAAGCCATCGATGTGCTTTCATCAATAGTTTTTTTAATACTTTTAATTAGATCGATATTTTATGGATTAAATTGATACTCAAAAATCGGTAAGTGTTTTCATAAATATATAAAAAAATATTTCATTTAATTATTAATTAATCTTTATCATTTAAATCTTTAATTAATTTTAAGTGCTATTTTTATCAATTTTTAATTAATTAATCAATTGTTGAGATAATATATTTTTTTTATCAAATTAATCGTATAATAATTTATAAATATACGCAGTAAAATAATCTAATCAAAAATATTTATTACTAATTATTAAAATTATTTATTCTTATGATCAATAATATAAACATAGCCTTGATTAAATTTAATTAAATAATTACGATGAATAAAATATAAAAAAAAATTTTTTTTTAGTATTATATAAAGTGTAATTATCCTATACAAGTAATTAGTTGTAACAAACCATTGCGAAGGTCAAAATATGTCGCAATAAATACTAAAAAAAAAATCTATGTTACTTAATAAGTTAATATAATATTTTGTAAACTAATCTTTTTAACCAAATTAAATAACGCGTAATCTCTAGCGTTTTCAGTATTAATTTCAGTCGAGTGACCGATATAAATACAAGACTGGTGAACGTTTTAATTCAATATATATGTATATATTAACACATGATTAGTTAAGTATTGTGATGAAGTTTATCAACAAGACAAGTACTTTCTTAACAATGCAATGCAGATGTGTGCATAATTATTAAATAGTCTAGCAGTGAAGATTATAAGAATATGTGTGTAAGATTTTATTTATTTTATAAATTTAAATTAATGGCTGGATTAAAGGATTTTTATTTTTAATCATTTAAGGATTATCTCTGAATTATTCACCAAGTGAATATTATTTTATAATTTAAATAAAATATTTTGGAGAAACTATTCTTCTTTTACAGAAATGTTTAATCTTGACCTCTTTAAACTGAATGAACATGTTGGCGGTCAAATATTTCTGGGTCCTTGACAAATATAATTACTAAAGATTTTTTTTTTTTTCCAATCAGCAATTACTTTTTAACAAGACTATAATAATATTAAAGTGATAAATAATGAACAAGAACAGTTTGTTTTTATTGCTATTTAACTTGAAAAAGTCTTTGAGTAATTATTACGACAGACATGGATAAAAAGTAAAGTTAATTGACCTAAGATTAGTATTACGGTTGAATATTTTTATAATTACATATAGATTTACTCGTTAGTTGATATTCAAGGATATCTTAAACATTTACTCTTATCTTCTATGTTACTAGTCGTAAGTCATAAAACAGCTTATAACTGAGGAATAAATTATGTGAGTAGATTTTAATTTCGATTAAAAAATTCAATTTTTCTGCAATTTTCTATAAATTTAAAAAAAAATACAATTAATATTTGTCACTTTTTTGTTTATCATTTTCAATTAAGGAAAACCAGGTTAATAATTCTGCGGATAAAAAATAAATATGACGTTTAAAATATTATTCTAATAAATATTTTTTAAATAAACAAAGAAGAAAAACTGTTATGATTATTTTCAGCACGATAATTATTTTTTATCAGTATACTTTGAAATATTTATTATTATTGTATTCTTTTTTTATTTATTTATTTATTGATTTTTGTGAAATATTTTTAAAAATAATATTGTAAAATTTTATATATTTTATGAGCTAATTTCTTTAACTATTACGAAGGACAGCGGAGAGAGGAAAACAGTTTTGATATCGGGTATTTATAAAACACGACTTAAAAAGCCTTACTGAGTCCTATTACATGAAACTGTCGCCTACTAAGGCAGTTTGTGTTGTCAGGCGATTTATTAGTTGCCAAACAAACGTTAACTTTAAGCACATTAATCATAAGACGAATTTATTTACAATAAAAAATTACTATTTATTTTGTGCGTAGTATTTAATAGTCATCCGACGTTTTTTTTTTTTTTCTTTTTTTTTTTTTTTTTTTTTTTTTTTCATTTTTTTAATAATTTAATAGATAAAGAATATTTTTTTAAATTCCACTTAGAATTTTCTACATGTCAATTTTTTTAATAATTTTTTCAGTAAATGTCTGCTAAGTTAATTTTCTTTAAAAATTATTTTTAAGAATATTAAAATATTTATTTTAATGTCATTGGTGATTTATAAAATTAAAATAAAAAATCATTTGACTATTTTTCAATTTTTTGTTGATTAAAAAATTATCTTTAAAAAAATTGAATTTTTTATTTTTTTAATTATTTTCATGTTTGAAAATTTTTTTTATCAATTTATTTGTAATAAAAATTATTAAATTAATTTACGTGTGAATTTTTTAAGTTCTTATCAAGAAAAAAAATATTTTTCTATGAAAATGTTTTCCGTGAAAGTCACGGACTGTTTAATAAACTATTTACTTATCATAAATGTAAAAATAATATGCAGTGATAGTATAAAATTGTATGTTCAAGGACATTTTTAATTATCAATAAAAATAAATCTTTATTAATCTATTCTTCAAAAAAAAATTAAAATAATTTTTTAAGATTAAGCAACAATTTTTTGATTGAGGTTGAGGTTTATTTTTATAATTTAAAATGTCATATAATTGCAGTAATAATTATTACGTCGAGTTTTTTTTTTTGTCATAAATTAAGTCGCGAGATATTTTATTAGTGCTAATTTAATATTACTTTCTAATTAGGCTGTTTGAAATTTTTAGCAATATAAATATGTTAATTATTTATTTTAAATAATTTTTTTCTGAAGTAAAATTTTTTATTTTGTCAGAAATTTAGAACTTTGTTATGTCCTTACGGATTTAAAAATCCATACACGTTTGTAATAATTGAGTCAACAAGGACATGAACTTTCCAATTCACTTTTATCATTCGTGAAGATATATTATATAAACAACGCCTACTGAATTCTGATTAAATTATTTAATGTTTATTTAAAATATAATTATCTAATGTAAGTGTTTGTGGTTTGTAAACATTATTGAGGGTAATATAACATACTTATAATTACATCTACTAATTGGAGATATTATTATAAATTTACTTAATGTTATTTAGTAAACTGGCTATTATTTAGAAAATAATGTCAAATAATGTAATATACTAGTTATTATTATCACTAATAAGATAATTTCTCAGACATACTCTATATCTTTAAGTTTATTCTAGAAAATTATTATTATTAAATTAAATTAGTACATATTTGTTGATTAATAAAATCAGCAAATATTTATCTATAAAATTACGCAGAATTTAAGGAAACATTTTTATTTATTTATTTAACATGATTCTAAAATTAGCCGTTCAATAATGTTTGATTTTTTTTAAATAAAATAAATTATTAATTTCGAAAAAATTAATTAAAAAAATTTTTTTGAAGTTACCTACTTTTATTTCTTCCAAAAATAAATAAAATTAATCTTGTTAATGATGATTATAGTTTATGATGGCAACAAAATTGTGGAAAGCCTTTTCTCGGAAAAGAGTAGATGATGATATGGAAGGAAAAGGAGAATTAGCACGAGTGTTAGGTCTCTTTGATTTGACAGCATTAGGAGTCGGCGCGACATTGGGGTTAGGAGTCTACGTTCTAGCAGGGAGTGTAGCGAAGGACACTGCGGGACCAGCTGTCTGTATTTCATTTCTTATTGCTGCAGTTGCATCAGCCCTTGCAGGTAAAAAAAAAAAAATTAAATTGCACTTTCAAGTAAAATAAACAAAATAATATAAATATTTTTTATCATCAGGTTTATGTTATGCTGAGTTTGCTTCCCGAGTACCTAAAGCAGGATCGGCTTATGTCTACAGCTATGTTACAGTTGGAGAGTTTATTGCTTTTGTTATTGGCTGGAATTTAATTCTTGAATATGTGATTGGTAAGTTTTAAAAATAACTAATAATAATAATAATAATAATAATAATAATAATAATAATAATAATCTATTTATTTCTAATCTGTCAACTTCAGTGAAGTTTAATTAAACTTATAATTTGTATAGGTACAGCAAGTGTTGCTCGAGGTTTAAGTAACTACGTCGATTCTCTAATCGACAATAAAATGCGGAATTATTTTCATTCAATTATGCCAATAGAAGTGTCATTTCTTTCGGACTATCCGGATTTCTTCGCCTTTGGAGTGGTTATGTTGCTAGTTGTTCTTCTATGTGTTGGAGTTCAAGAATCTTCGTACCTCAATATGGGATTTACAGTTATTAACTTAACAACTATTTTAATTGTCATAGTTGCTGGATCTATTAAAGGTAATATTTAAATTGATAAAATTTAAATTTTATTTTTGATTCTTTTAATTAATTTAGAAGTAAAAAAAAACATTTTTTATTTGACAGCTGATCCAGCAAATTGGAGCATTGACCCGTCAACAATTCCTCCAGAAGTCAAGAATCCTGGAACAGGTGGATTCATGCCTTTTGGAATAAGTGGAGTAATGATTGGAGCAGCCAAGTGTTTTTACGGATTTGTTGGTTTTGATGCTGTTGCTGCAACAGGCGAAGAAGCCAAAAATCCACAAAAAACAATTCCACTTGCAATAGTGATCTCTCTTGCTGTTATTTTTGCAGCGTATTTCTCCATTTCTACTGTTCTTACGATGATGTGGCCCTACTACTTACAAGTTAGTTAATATCACTTATCATATTTAATAAATTAAATTTAATTACATATCTATTGATAAAATCCAGGATCCAGAAGCTCCATTTCCTTACGCATTCCAACAAATTGGTTGGCCAGCAATTATGTGGATTGTCAACGTCGGTGCTGTTTTTGCTCTTTGCACTAGTCTTCTTGGAGCAATGTTTCCACTTCCGAGAATTCTTTACGCGATGGCAAGCGATGGAGTAATTTTTAAATTTCTTGCTAAAGTACATCGGAAAACTCACACACCAATATTAGGAACTCTAGCATCTGGCTTATTAATCGGTATATCACCTAAACAACTAAATAAAAAATTAATTTTATAAAATACTATTTATATATTTTTTATCCACAGGTTTGATGACTCTTATGTTCAATCTTGAACAACTAATCGACATGATGTCAATTGGTACTCTTTTAGCGTACACAATTGTCGCTATTTCCGTCCTTATTCTCAGGTACCAAAAGACAACTCAAACCGTAAAATTACCTTCAAATACAATTTTAGAAAACAATTTACCATACTTAGATTGTTTTAAATTAATTTTCAATATTCACAACCAAAAAGTTGCCACTAAATTTTCAAGCAGAGTTGCAGGCTGGGCGGTTCTTCTTTTCTGTAAGCATTTCTTCTCAAATAATTATTATTATTATTATTATTTTTTTTTATTTATTACAACTTACTCAAGCTTTTTTTTTGTTTACAGCATGTGCAGTATTTATTTTTTGTCTCATCCTTGCTCACACCACCTTCAACAGTGATCCGTTGGACATATTTATTTACATAATTTTAACTATAATTGGTCTAGTAATAATCTTCACAGTAATAGCTATAAGCAGACAACCAGTAGATCCTGTTTCAATAGCCTTCAAAGTAATTACATAAATTTATTATTATTTTATGCATCAAAATATTTAAATAAAAAGTATATTTTTTTATTTTAGGTTCCCTTTGTACCGATCGTACCATGTTGCAGTATAATTATTAATCTATGTCTTATGCTGCAATTAGATGTTTTCACTTGGATACGATTCGTCGTGTGGATGATTATAGGTATAAATAATTAATTATAAATTTATAAAATTTTTTTAAATTAATTTTATAATTTTTTTTTTTTTAGGATTTTGTATTTATTTCTTCTACGGTATTCGACATAGCTTACAAGGTCAACGGGATAGATTGTTAACTAATCCACCTCCTCATGCATATACCAATCCTGTAAAATTAGTAACTAAATTTTAAGAAAAAAAATCAGCAATTTTTTATTCATTTTTTTTTTTTTTATTTTAAGATTTAAACTTGAAAATTATTTTAATGATTTTTAATAATTTATATTTAAAAAAAAAAAAAGACATCATTTCATTTAAAATATTTTAAACTAGAAATTATTTGAACGAAATCTCAGATGACTTCTCTTGCCTTTAACGCAATATATAAACAGCTTTTATTAACACTGACGCTACCGTTTTTTGACGGTCTAATTTTGTAAATACATTTTGTTATATAAAAGCATTTTATTTATTTTATATTGTATATTTTGTAAATAGTACAAAGAAAAATATATCTACATATAAATAACTAATTTTAATCATAAATAATAAATAATCTTAAGAATTTTATAAATTTTATATAAGTCTAAAAAAATATTTATAATTAAAAGCGAGTTAGTATTTTTATAATAATTTAAGATCATCTTCACAGAAATTTATTGTTCAATAAAACAAAAATACGATCAATAAAATCTGGTATATTTACCATAACAACTATTTATATTATAAATTCAATTATTCTAAAGCCTTGATAATAATTCATTACTCATTGCAGTAGCATAAAGGAAAACAAATAAGGAAAAGAATAATTAATTACAGTATGAATAAAATGATAAATTATTTTCTCTGAAATTTTATAAGGCCTCATTCTTTCCTTAATATTTAAATTAAAAAAAAATGCATTTATTATATTTTATTTTAATTTCACATTTTTTATGTACACTTTTCTGAAAATACAAATAAAAATTTTTTTATTCTGTTTATTATGCGATTGTATGACACATAATTAATTTAGCCTCTTTTAAGACAAAGAATATTTGTTGATAATAAAAATTTTAATTACTAAATTTATATATGATCATTTACAGCCGAAAAATTATCAGTTTTGAAAACCCAATCACTTTTTTTTATAGATTAATTAAGCTTTAAAATTGTTCATAAAGATTTGCTAGCGGGAGAATTATGTAATATGTTGTTTAATTAATGATAATGATAATAATTACTCCTCAGAATCTTATAATCCTGAAATTAAGATTAAGCTAAGTCATAAAAAGTCGCTGCTTTGTTACTTATCTAAAAAAGGAATATTGGTAAAAATTTAGTTACAAAGTAAATAAAAAAAATTATTTCTTCTTTAGCATAAAAAAAATGTATAAAATAATGATATAATTAAAATAAAAATTTTTTCTATTTCTTCTTTATATGTGCTTAATATATCTTCAATAATTAATTTAATTGCTTTTTTAATTTATTATTTCAATTAATCTTCACTATTATTTTCAATATAAATTAATTAAAAAAAAAGGGTTGTTATAATTTAAGCACAAATAATGGGAAGACATACTAAAACGTCACTATAATTACAGTAATTATTTCTACTACCGGAAAAATATTTGTGAGTGTTTCATCAATTAAATTACGCAATCCATAGTTATTACCACAATAAAAAAATATTATAGAGGAAAATTTTATCAATGTTAAATGCATACATGAGATATTTAATGATTACGATCGGGTCAATACGTATCTGACCAGGCTCTTGGTACATCAGTGTTTTTCAATAATTCTTACAAGTAAGGAATAATATTTTTACATAAATACTCACGTTCAAAAAAATAAAATCAAAAATAAAATTATCTTAGGATTACTCAAAGTGTGATTTCTCTTTTGTGTGTATATAAAATATTGAGAAAAAAAATTTTTTTATTTTGAGATCTTCTAATAAATTTTTTTTTTTTAATGAAAGATGTTATTTAATGAACTATGCAAAGCATTGACAAGAAAAAGAGTCGATGAAAACAATGATAAAAACGGACAACTTGCAAGGGTGTTGGGGTTGTTCAATTTAGTTACATTAGGTGTTGGCTCGACTTTGGGAGTCGGTGTTTATGTTCTTACTGGATATTTAGCTAAAGAAGTAGCAGGACCCGCAGTTTGTTTGTCATTTTTAATTGCTGCTCTTGCATCATCTCTTGCAGGTAAAAAAAATTAATTTTTAATTTAATTTATTAAAAAATTTCTTTATGTAGTATTTAAATAAAATTTTTAGATGTCAAGAAGAAATTTAATTTTAATAAAATTATTTATTAGAGAAATTTATTTGCTGAAGAAATATTAATTTTTTGTCAGAACAATATTTATTTACTTAAAAAAAAAAAAAAATTTTAGGATTATGTTATGCAGAATTTGCTGCCAGAGTTCCAAAAGCAGGATCTGCATATGTTTACAGCTATGTCACAGTCGGCGAGATTATTGCTTTTATTATCGGATGGACGTTGGTTCTCGAATACGTCATCAGTAAGTTATATATAAAAAAAAAAAAAACTTGTCAGTATAAATATAAATAGTAACTAATTATTACAAATTAACAAGTTGCAGCCAGCGTAGCTCGTAGTTTGAGTATTTACATTGACTCCTTTATTGACGATGCGATGAAGAAATTCTTTCAGTCAATAATGCCGATAAAAATATCTTTCCTCTCAGACTATCCGGATTTTTTTGCCTTCAGCTTGATTGTCTTCATTTCAATTATACAATGCACAGGCGTAAAAAAATCATCTTATTTCAATACTATTGCAACAGTTACCAATTTGTTGACTATTTGCGTTGTAATTGTTTCAGGTTGCACTAAAGGTAAAAAAGTTTTTTTTCTAATATTATAATTACTTAATATAAAATTTATTTTTGTAAATATTTAATAGTTGATGTTAATAATTGGTACCTTGAGCCAAAAGACATTCCTGCTAATGCTACAAAACCAGGAGCAGGCGGATTCATGCCTTTTGGAATGAGCGGCGTAATGGCCGCTACAGCAAAATGTTTTTTTGCATTTGTTGGATTCGATGCTATTGCGACGACCGGAGAAGAAGCCAAAAATCCCCAAAGAAATATTCCTTTTGCAATTATTACTTCTCTTTTAATTTGCTGTTTAGCTTACTTTTCAGTGTCAGTTGTTTTAACTATGATGTGGCCTTACTATGACCAAGTAAGTTCACCTATGACAATTAATCACCTTTAAATATCCAAACACTTGAAAATTTTTTTATTTTCTTCAAAAATAAACTAGAAAATTATTTATAAAAAATTGCACTTAGCTTCTTAAGTTGTAATTTTTAAAATAAATTTTTTCTTGCTCTAATTTATTAGTTAAAAAATTTAGAAAAATTTTCAGTCTCTTATTTATTAAATAGTAGAACACTAAAATAGTATTTTTTACTGAATATAGAATCCAGAAACTCCGTTCCCATATGTATTCAAACAATTAAACTGGCCTGTAATTTTATGGATAGTAAATATTGGTGCTATATTCGCATTTTGTACCTGTTTGTTTGGTGGATTATTTTCTTTACCAAGAATTTTATACGCAATGGGAAGCGATGGAATTATCTTCAAGTTTTTGAGTAATGTCAATAAAAAAACTAAAACTCCAGCAACAAGCATTTTGTCCTCTGGATTATTTTCAGGTAAATATTATTAACCATCAAAGACTAAAATTAAATTACAATAATATTTTTTATTTTTTTCAAGGTTTTATTTCCCTGATATTTAATTTAAGCCAGCTTATGGATATGTTGTCGGTTGGCACACTCTTAGCTTATACCATGGTTTCAATCTGTGTAATTATCTTGCGGTATCAAAAAACTGTAAACACTGAAGAATTTAGTATCAATGTCAGTCAAGATGATTTTAATTTTTATAAAAAAATATTCAATATTAACAACAAGAAAGTCGCTACTGAAGATACCAGTAAAATTGCAACTTGGGGGGTTGTTTTATTTTGTAAAGTATTTTTATTTTATAACCCGTATTAACTAATATAAAACTTGTACTTACTTTTAATTTTATTTAATCAGCAATTCTGGTATTTATTTTTGGGGTGACTAGCTATCATGTAGAGCTTCACAACGATGCCAAAAATTTATTAGGCTTTATTTTCTTAACTATCATTGTTGTCATGATTGTTCTCATTGTGACTGCCATCGGAAGACAACCTGTTAATTCAGCGAGACTCAGCTTTAAGGTGAATTAAAATTTAAGTACCAGATATTTGATAATTTTTGTCTTCTATTTCTTCTTTTTTAAATAAAATTATTGTTTAGGTTCCACTGGTTCCCTTCATACCTTGCTGCAGTATATTTGTAAATATTTTTCTCATGATTCAGCTGGATATTTTTACTTGGCTCAGATTAATAATATGGTTAATTCTAGGTAAAAAATTGAAGATAATTTTTTAATAATAATACTAACAAAAATAATATTTTTTTTTTCAGGATTTTGCATTTACTTTTTTTATGGGATTCGTCACAGCATTCAACGCAGCAAAGATAATCAAAAAAATTATCATAATAATACTTTAGCAACTATAAATACTAAATTTTAAGTATGTAATTATTAAGACTTGTATTTTATTATTGTATGTAAGAATTAAAAATTCAATTTATAATAATAATATAATACAAATATTTCTTTTGATTTTTTAATAATTTATAATCATTCATATTTAAATATTATCCTCATTTTTTTAGTATATATTTTTATCTCATCTATTTTTCTCAGAAAATAAATAAAGAATTGATATTTTATTTTTAAACTAAATTTATTAATAAAATAATTACAATTATATCCTTTATACTTACACGTACTATTTTTTGGCGTAACTTTAAATCACGTGTTCAATTGCATTGATAAAAAATATATTACACTTTATATCTTCCTTAGAATTTTAACAATATTTTTTATTAAAATAAATTTTATTTTATTTTATTTCTTCACAAAAAATAAAATTAAAATATTGTAAATTTTATTACAATTTAATTTTTTAATTTACATAAAATAATAATATATCACCATGAATTTCTTCATGGTGAGGTTTATAAACTACTACAATCTACGTAAATAAAAGCCAAGGAATTCAAATTCAAATATGTTTGGGTCCACAAAGGAATAATCTATGTCAAAAAGGATGATGATTCGTCGAAGTTCATGATTAACACTGAATCAGATTTAGCTAAGCTTCAATAACAATTACCGCGTCAAGCAAATGTCCCTTTATCATCAATAAATATACTAAGCTTTACCGGTGAATTAATTCATTTTTAATCTCTTCTATACGTCTTTGGCGTGAATTACTACCGGATGTCATCAATGCACTTAGTATTAACACCTTCAAGAAAAAAAGCTTATAAATTCTTTCATGACCTTGAGCTCAAGGAGAGCCTGATACCTGGTACTATTGAGGAAAATTCAAGTTATTAAAGTTGTTAAAATTGGTATAATTTGCAGTACATTATATCTAACAGTCTGGCACTTATATTTTTAAACTCCTTGTTACTCTCCTATTTCATTCCACTTTGACTGATTGTAATTAATTGATTATTTTTCTTTTTCTAATTTTGTATTGTTAATGTGTTTATATAGACCTATTTATAGTTTTACATATACTTTATATCACTTATTTTTAATGTCTTGGCATATAAATCGAATAAATAAATAAATATGCAAATCTTTTTATACTATAAAAGGCTAATCAAGTACTTATAAAATATTTTTTTCATTCCTTTTATACTGCGCTCAAGTATGGAAAATTAATTTCTGATGATCTAATTAGATATTTTTGTTTGAATTAAAATAGTTATTTGGTTAACGATAAATAAATTATAACTTATCGTAATTTTAATCTCCTATTTTTAAAAAGGCTTATAATTTATTTATTTCTTCTTAAGAATTCATTAGTCTTACTAAATCGTTAAGTGCTCGATTGTTTATCACATTAACTAATTTTAAAAGTGAAATTTATTCATTTTATTTAACTTATCAAATAACGTTTCAGGGGCAGAACTATATATAAAAGAAAAATATAAAAAAAAAAAAAACATAATTCAATACGTGACGATAATTAAGATAAGAGTAATAAATGTGAGACTAAAGATGATTGTAAGCATATCCAAAATACGTCAGCAAATAAATAATAATCTTGTGTTTAACTGACTAACGAACATTTTTTTGTGTCATACAAAGAATTTTCATTCTTTATATTGAAGTTGAAGCCATCAGTGTTAAAATAAAAATAATTGTTGTTCTAAAAGTTATTAAAATTTTATTTTTAATTAATACTCTTGAAAAAAATTAAATAAAATATTTTACAAGTTCCTTTTTCAGTATTAAAAAAATTACAAATTATTATTATAAGTAAATTAATAAATAATTTAAATTAAAAATTAATTAATAATAAAATTTACAATATTTTATTTTAATTTTTTTAAATAAAAATTATTTTAATAGAAAACTATTTTACTGGTGTTAAAATTTTAAGGAAGAAAAAAAAAGTGTTATATATTTTTTATATGCGTAATTTAACACGTGATTAAAAGTTACGCGAAGAAATAGTACGTGTAAGTATAGAAGATTTCATTTTAATTATTCTATTAATAAATTTAGTGTTTAAAAATAAAAAAATTAATTTTTTTTTATTTATTTATTTATTTTCTAAGAAATGAGAAGAAATAAATATTAAAAAAATGTTTAAATAAAATTATTTAATATTACCAAATAATTGTAGATAAAATATATATTTTAAATAATTAAATAAAAGCCAGAACTGATTGACTTGGTGTTTATTTATAAAATTGGTAAGTATATGTTATTAAAACGCTTGTTATATTATGCAATTTGCATTAAAAGCTGTTGCTAAATATTATATTCAAACGTTATTTGGTGGGACGCAAGCGCAGAAGATCCTAAAACGGTCAACGTAACTAATGTCATTCTTTCAAATGAACAGGGTAATCGAGAATCAATTGAGACAATTGGCATCACGCTAATTTAGTCTGATTGTTCAATTTTAGTTGGCTATTTAAATGTTAAAATTTTAATTTATATAAATTAAGTGATTTTTAATAAAATATTTTATTTATTTTATATTATTTCTTCATGCCTAGGCTAAAACAAGAAGATATTGTTATAAATATTAAAAGTGCTTTAAATTACGCAAGATGTCAACGAAATTGTGGAAAGCACTGACCAGGAAGAGAATCGACAGGGATTTAGAGGGCAAAGGTAAATTAGCAAGAGTCCTGGGCTTGTTTGATCTCACAGCACTAGGAGTCGGCGCTACTTTAGGCTTAGGAGTTTATGTCCTTGCCGGAAGCGTTGCCAAAGCAACTGCTGGCCCCGCTGTTTGTATTTCGTTTCTTATTGCCGCTATTGCGTCAGCTCTCTCAGGTAAATAATTCAAATAAAATTATAATAGTGTTAATTTATATTTTTATTTTTAATACTAAAAAAAGCAGACGTTAGACTATTTTTTTAGTTTTTTAATCAATAAAAATTAATAAAAAAAATTCTAAACATTTTTTTCAGCAGAAGTCAGCTAAATAAATTTTCATAATTAGCAGACGTTTAATAATTTTTTATTAATTAAATAATGATTAAAAAAAATTGCACTTTTAGTTTTTTAAATTTTTTTAATGTGAAATTTTTTATTCAATAATAAAATTTTTAAATGTCCGCTAACTTAATTTTAATTTTTAATTTAGGAATGTGCTATGCCGAATTTGCTTCACGTGTCCCAAAAGCAGGCTCGGCTTACGTTTACAGCTATGTAACAATCGGCGAATTTGTTGCTTTTGTAATCGGGTGGAATCTCATCCTCGAGTATGTAATTGGTAAGTGTTTCAGAAAAAAATAGATAAAGTATTTTTATTATCGATTAATCTTATCTTTCATTAAAGCAACCGCAAGTGTAGCTCGAGGGCTGAGCAATTACGTTGATTCCTTGATTGACAATCAAATGAAGATTTATTTTCAATCAGTCATGCCAATAAATGTATCATTTCTCTCAAAATATCCAGACTTTTTTGCCTTTTCCGTCGTCATGCTTCTCTCTGTGCTTCTATGTATAGGCGCACAGGAATCTTCGTATCTTAATATGGGATTTACGGCTGTAAATTTGACTACAGTTTTAGTTGTCATTGTTGCGGGTTCGATAAAAGGTAGATAAATTCTAACTATTATCTATAAATTAAATAATTAATTAATTAATTAATTCCGTAATTTTAACAGCTAATCCAGCAAATTGGAATATCGACCCATCAACAATTCCTCCCGAATTTAAAAATGCTGGAACAGGTGGATTTATGCCTTTTGGAATAAGTGGAGTAATGATTGGAGCAGCCAAGTGTTTTTATGGATTTGTTGGTTTTGACGCTGTTGCTGCAACAGGCGAAGAAGCCAAAAATCCACAAAAAACAATTCCACTTGCAATAGTGATCTCTCTTGCTGTTATTTTTGCAGCGTATTTCTCCATTTCTACTGTTCTTACGATGATGTGGCCCTACTACTTACAAGTAACTAAACATCACTTATAATCATATTTAATAAATTAAATTTCAATATAAATAAATATTAATAAAATCCAGGATTCAGAAGCACCCCTTCCTTACGCATTCCAACAAATTGGTTGGTCATCAATAAAATGGATCGTGAATCTCGGAGCTGTTTCAGCTCTCTGCACCAATCTTCTAGGCTCGATGTTTCCACTTCCAAGAATTCTTTACGCCATGGCAAGTGACGGTGTGATGTTTAAATTTCTTTCGAAAATTCACGACAAAACTCGCACTCCAATTTGTGGAACTTTAGTTTCTGGAGTTTTCATAGGTTTGTAGCTAAAAATATAAAACCAACAATTTTTTATTTATAAAATATTTTTCATCTTATTTTAGGTCTCATGACTCTTATGTTCGACTTGGAACAATTAATCGACATGATGTCGATTGGTACTCTTTTAGCGTACACCATAGTCGCTATCTCCGTCCTTGTTCTCAGGTATCAAAAAACAACACAAGGTGTCAAGATATCTATAAATTCGATATCTGAACAACGTTCAACACCTCTTGAGTATTTTAAACAAATTTTTAACGTTGACAATCAAACAGTTACCAGCGATTTTTCTAGTGAGATTGCCAGCTGGGGAATTGTTGTTTTTGGTAATATAAAAATATTTAATTTTTTTTTTTTTTTTTTTTTTTTTTTTTTTTTTTTAAATCTCTCTCTAAATAATGTTTTTTTTTTTTATTATTATTTTAATACAGCCTCAGCAGCATTTATGTTTAGTTTAATTCTTAATTCAGTACACTTTGATGATAGTGCAATTAATATTTTCCTCTACGTTGTTTTAATTATTATAAGTATAATTATTGTTGTTACTGTGTTTGCTATTAGTAGACAACCTATTGATCCAATAAAACTCGCTTTTAAGGTAATTTGTTTTTAATTAATAAATTTTAAAATAAATCTTTTTTTTTAATAAATAATTTTTAATTTTTTGTAGGTACCACTGGTTCCATTTGCACCCTGTCTCAGTATATTCATAAATTTATTTTTAATGCTTCAATTAGACGTTTTTACATGGATAAGGTTTGCTGTATGGATGGTTATTGGTAATTATATTTTTCATTTTTATATTTTTTATTTTTATAGTTATAAAAAATTTAAGTAATTTGTATTAATGTTGTCTAGGTTTTTGTATCTATTTTTTCTATGGAATTAAACATAGTTTACAAGGTCAAAAAAATATCGCACGACTTCTCGACACTCCATTGCAATAAAATATTTCTAAGTTATTTTATAACTCTTTTACGTTTTCATTAATATCATTGAATGACTTTTTGATTAATATTTTGTAAATATATTACATTAAGTATAATATGTATCGAGTAAATTTCAGATTATAATATTTATAATTGGTTTTATTTTAGCAGTGACAGTATAAAAATAATCCATTGAAACATAAATTTTTATCAATAATAAAATTAATAGTGATAATAGTAATAATTAAAATGACTTATTTTACAAAAAAAAATTGTAAGCCTTTTATATAAGGAATGTATGAGATAAAAATTAGCGATATAATTATTTTTACTCCTAATGAGTTGTAATAAATTAATTTTAATGGCAAATAAGTAATTATTATAGTTTTAAAATAAAACTTAAATATGACTAGTACCTAGGGTAGGCCTAAAATTTTTTTAAACCAATTGTGTAAACGATTATTATACCTCAGACTCGTTGTTTTTTTTTTTTTAAATAAAATACTGTAAAGTAAAGATTTATAATTTCTTACCACCAGGAAAACCACCGAGACTTATGTGCTGCCAGTTAGCCTGTAAAAATAAATTTATATCGTGTTATTCTTTGGCCAAAAGAAGTAAATAAAAAAATTTTTTTAAATTTTTTAAAATATCTTGTTAAATTGCACTGTACTTTTTTAACTATTGAAGTTATCAAAGATATAAGCTCATCCCGATGTTACACTCATCAAGAGCTTTCATTTGAGTGCCCACATGCATTTTTGATATATTTTTCA